TTTTTTTTTTTTTTTTTTTTTTTTTTGCTAACCACCATTTATGTGCGGGACTTAGAAGAGTTTTGCTTTCTTCTTCATGTCGTTGCGTCTCCAGAGAGGTAACTTGTCAAACTCCTGTATGGACATCCCAAAGATTTCCCGAAACACTTCTGGGGCTAAGTGGCGCTGGGAAGACAGAACAGAGCAGAGGTCAGTCCCGACGGCCACACTGATGTCCTGGAGAGCTGCTCCCCAGTCTCGAAATACAGCTGGCCCTTTGTGCGAGTGGCCTCCCTGTCCTCGGATTCAACCAACAGTGGATCACAAATATTCTCCTGCCAAAAACACTGCACCTGTACCGAATAGGAATAAACTTTTTCTTTGTCACTTTCCCCCTAAACGATCCAACTACTTATACTGCATTTACACTGTACCTGTTATTATAATTAATACGACAGGATTTGATGTATGTGAAAGGGTATGTGAAGGTAATATGCAGGGACTGCCTTATTTTACGTAAGGGATTGGGGAATCCACAGACTTTAGGGTCTGAATGGAGAACTTCGAATCAGTCCCCTGCAGATAAGGACACAGTCAGCATTTTGAAGAGCAAAACAGAACGACAGCAGAGGAGGTCTGATGCTTGTTACCAAGCACAGACAGGGGAGAAGTCGACATCCTCACCAGATCAAAGCGCTGACAGGAGACTAACAACATGGCTACAATTTGGGGTCACACCAGCGAACAATGACGGGGACCAGGGAGGTGATTTGTCATGTCATGGCGGAGGCAACCCCTGGCACTCGGATATGGAAAATATGCAGGGAAACGGGACCGGAGCAATAGAAGTCAAGGAGAGAGAGACCTCCAGGGTGGTCTCTGGGGAGCTTAGGGCTGCTTCTTGACTCAGCACAGGGGTAAAGGTGGCTGTCACTGTCACTGCCCCTAGGAAAAGTTCCATTAGGACCCTCGGGCCAGCGTTCTCGGAGTCAGCCCGACCTCTGCGGCAGACGCAGTGCCTTTCGTCAAGGCGCAGCAGTGGTTCTTCCTGAGACGGGCAGCCGGGACTTTTCTTAGTTATCATCATTTGGATGGAAAAGTACTAAGATCAGTCTTCCACGTCTAAGGAGCCTCGGGTTCGTGCACCCTGATAACCCTCAGCACAGAATGCGGAAACAACTAAGAAAGAGAGCTGCTACATTACAAGCCTCGAGAGCGCCTTCCCCTGCTTTCCTGGACTCAACCCAGGCGGAGAGAGACGGAATCCGAGAATATCTGACCACCCCCATCAGCACCTCCAGCTCTAACGATGGCAGCGTCCTATTTCCAAAGCCCATGAACAAAATCACACTGTGTCTCCAGGGTCTTTCTTCTAAACACTACGGGGCATTTTAAATACTGATCTAAGTGTAAATAACTTGAAATCTAAGAGCACATGCTGTACTACTGGTCTACCTGAAGCCAGAAAATACCTGCCTCGGTGTAGAGGTCAAACACCCTCCTGCTCTCACTCCTTCCCACATGCACTTCTGAGATCAGGGACCGTGTCTGCTTTCTTATGTATGTCTGAGTATTAACAGAGTAACAGCAGTGAATGAATGCTTATAAACTTGCTTCTCATGGTGTTCATTTTCAGTAACCCAGGAAATGAAACCCACAGCCTTCAGACTGAGCTACATCCCCAGCCCCTTTGCCTTTTTTTGCAGGGTCTGACAAAGTTGCTAGGTTGTCCAGGCTGGGCTTGAATTTGGGATACTCCCGCCTCAGCCTGCCAGAGTGCTGGGATTACAGGTGTGTGCCACCACGCCTGGTACCTCACAGTTTTATCTCATTAGAGACCCTCCGAGATGTGAGTTACTTCTTTGTTCTATTTACAGTTTGAGATTGATAGATCTGCAGTTGGATATGGATTTTTGTTTTGTTTTACCTCCAGTCGGGTTCTGTCCACATCTCTTAGGATTTTGTTGCGCCCTCTGTTGGTTACCATGAGCATCTCGTATGGAAATATCTGAGAAGGAAAGAAAACATCTCATGTTTGCTTTTTTTTTTGGTACCGGAGATCGAATTCGGGTCCTTGTGCTTGCGAGGTAGACAGCGGAACCACTGAGCTAAATCCCCAGCCCAAAACATCTCTTGAACATTGTTGTCCATTTTATTAATGAGGAGAGCCTACCTAAAATCTGGAATTTCCAAGATAGAGCTTATGAGAGCTTATCAAGGGAGCATCTGAGTAGAGGGTGCTCCTCCTGAGGACCAACAAAAGCTCCAGTGTCCAGGGTACAGGGACAGATTATTTCTTTCCCATCTAGCTCCAACTTTCTACCAGTGCCTCTTGCAGCACTGTGACCTGGGAGGGCTCTGCAGAGTACAGAGCATTAACTTACTATGAATGACAAGTCAGGAGAGAACTGAAGTTACAGGTGCACGCACTGTCTCTTACATGACTCTGTTAAATGGCGGGATACTTTTCTGGCTCAGTAACCTTGGTCCATGGATGGCTCATGACTCCAAGCAGCTAGGCAGGCCCAAGATGCACAGTTCAAGCAGTTGATACAATGAAATAAGCTCTGGTTACGGTCACCAGGGAGCACAAGCCCTTGAACACCTCTAGAGGTGCAGAATGTTTTGGAGCTGGGGTGATCAGCCATGCCAGTTTGCCCAGGACTGAGAAGGTTCTTGGGGTACCTGACTTTTGGTGCTAATGCTAAAAAAGTCCTGGTAAAGGTGACACATTGGTCACCTTACCTCAGAAGTCTGTAGCTGTTTCACTCAGCAATGGACATGCCTTGTACTACAGCCCTGTCCTGCACAGCTAATGTGGCAAAACAGTGAAATGGTGAGATGCCTTGTGATGTGGTTTGTCTGAATGCAGCAGCTTAGAACAAATGGGCCTTGCACTCTGAGAACGGTGAAAGGCAGGAAACCGAATCTTTTTAGGGCTGCGTCATTCCAACATGAGAGGAAAAAAGCGGCTGCACTTGCCTTTGGTTCCAACATATTGGGCATGGACACTCCTCGGTCCATTCTCATCGCAGGCATGTGGCCGTCCGGAAGGGTCTGCAACAGAAACGCTGGCTCAGGGACAAGAACAGATCAGCAGGGACCTCGACGGAGGACTCTGGCGGCTCCCACACAGCCCCTCTGTGCCTCAGTCTCTACCATCATTTTATCTGTGTCATGCTCATTACCGTGTATCTTTCAAAATGAGATCCTTATTGAATAAGAGCGGGAATATTGTTTTTCTATGATCAAGTTGGGGGAAAAGATCCTGGCTTACTAACTGTGGCTGAAACTCCTGAATTTAGGCTGCATGTCTGAGTATATAGTATGTGAAAAACTGCCCAGCCTATTATTATTTTAATTTTAGTTTTCTTTGCATTTTTCTCTATTCTCACTCTCCATTAATTTTCCAAGTTTTCGGCTGTGAGGCTGGGGGTGCAGCTCAGTGCTAGAGCATTAGCCAGCATCTCCGAGCCCCTGAGTTTCATCCCTAGCACACTACACACACACGCACACAATCCTTCCTATTGGCCAGCATCTAACTTTATTTTTCTTTTGGGAACAGGCAGGAAAATAGGTGATAAAAATACTGAAACGTTATAGAATTTTAAAAACTTGCACACAGGCAGACCCCTGATGGCGGTCCAGTTCCTCCTTAGAGAGCTCCTCTAAACCAAAGCGAGACAGTTTCCCACCCTTGGCCTGCCTCGTGCTGTGTGCCCGGGGACACAGGGACAGCCGGATGCAGGCTTCAGGCATGCCTGCTCCGTGTGGTGTGCAGCTGTGACTAAAGATCAACTACAATACGCATCTTCTCAGCAGAAATCTCCCTCAGCAAGCACCCTGAACTGGCAAATGGCCATTGCGCTGGTGTGGCCAACTCCAGAAAGACAAAGTATTCATACCTGGTAGTCTGGAAAGAAAAGGAGAAGAAAAGCATCGTAAGGACAGAGTATGGGGAATCATGGAACCATTAACAGACAGCCTATATTCTATGACTACGATTCCCAAGTTGTCCCCAGGGAGCCACGCTCTCCGCCCCCAATCTGTACCACTATGCTCACTGGAGCCAGTAAACCCTGCACCAGCTTTGGGTGTCCGTTAAAACATCCTCTTTTCTCTCTCCTTGTCATACAAGTTGATTAACAATGTGGTGAATATTAAAAAATTTGGGGAGTGGTGGGGGTTGTGAGACAGGGTCTTACTATGTAGCCCAGGCTGGGCTTGAAGTTGCAGGGATTCTCCTGCCTCACCCTCCTAAGGGCTGGGACTACAGGCATGTACTACCATGCCCAGCTAAAATAGTTTTTTGAAAATTTACTATGGTAAAAGAAACATTGCCAAGAACGACAGGCTAAGTGTGACTGAAGCAAGAATGGTATTTGGAGGGAGATTAATGGCAATGCATCTTTTACTGTTAAACTTTAATTTAAAAATTTACTTTTTAAAAAAAATCATACTGCATTAAACAGCTGCTTATAGCAATTTCTGTCAAAGAAAAACACTACAGCATGCCCTTATCTACCTTATTCGCCAGATCTGGAATCCTGTGACTTCTGGTTCTTCCCCAAAGTCAAAACTCCCCACAATAAACGTTAACCATGACGTAGTGCAAACATGTACTAATAAAAATAAAATTAAAAAATGACCACGAAAGGCAGACTTTTGGAATCTATTCAGGACACGGGGGCAGACACACCGTGTAACTAAAGATGCTCGTGAAAGAGGGCTCCAGAACTGCTTTAGAAAGTGGCAAAAATAATGGGGCAGGTACGTTCGAAGGAAGGGAGTAATCAGGGTTCATGCAATGCGTCTCTTGCTGTATTCAATTTTTTAAAAATTTGAACATTCTGCATATATTTTGATCGCAACCTCTTATGCATTTTGAGGGCAGGGGTCGTGCTGGGCTTATCGCTGCCCCTCCAGGCATCTAACAGGGTCCGCAGCACACAGGAGGACCAATGAGTGGACGCTTCTCAGGGCTCTGTCCCATTAAAGATCCTCGGAGCTCTCAGCGATGGCCGAGGTGGGAGCCAAGGGGCACAACACAGTGTGGGCCAGGCAGTGCCCTCCGGATTATTCAGCCCCCGGTGGGCCTCAGGCTGGGGGAAGGTGCACCGCGGCCAGGCCGCCCGCCCCAGAGCCTCACCTCGCACACCTCCGCTGACATCCCCGTAGCTGTTATACTGAGCAAAGTCTGTGGAAACCGGCTGAAACGAGGAAAAGCACATCAGTAACAAACCTCAGCTATCATCTCCGAGTCAGATAAAAATGAGGAACGGACTTAACAAAATCCTAAGAATCCTTCCCAGGCTAAATTCCTGGATCTTCATTTTTTTTCTTCCCTATTTTTCTATAACTATGAAATCTGTCTTTTGAAGTACATCTATTGCCCCTGCCCACGGACTCTTGGTAAGCAACTGTCTCTTGCTCATAAATAAAAATACATTTCCTGTGAGCTACATAATCACATTTGTTCTATACCTTGGTGAGAGGACAGCTGTAATAAACTTTATTTTTTTTTATTTATTTTTAAAATTTAATTTATCGGTACATTCTAGGTAGACAGTACAGCTACATTCATTACTGGGATCTTGTATAAACTTTATTTTTAAACAGACAATAAATCAAATAATTATTTTTGGCTTCACTGTAAAAGCATTTGACACAGTCTTACTGAATGTAGTCTCCTGTTAAGCTTACATAGGCCATTCACTTATTTAAAGCTAATAAAGTCTTCTCTTAAGAGAAATATTTTTACTTTGACTGTAATTTGAAGTGATTTACCAGGTGACTGGGGAGACTAAAATTTTCATTATAGGCGAACGCTAACATCAAGAGTCCTATGTATTCAGACAGTATGGCTTCAAGCAGGACTGGGAAGGACTAATGTAGAAACTATCAGTCGAAGAGAAATCTTACCCGGTGAAGTCCATTTCTTCCATAGCCAGGGAGAGATGAGGTTTTTGATGATGGAGCATGTAAAGCTAAATGAGAAAACAGGTTTTTCTTGTTGGTTTCTTTTTAAGAACAACTGTGGGGAAGCCAGAAGTCTAATTCTTTCACGAAATTGGAATCATATCTACTTCCTTTACAGAACAGAAGATTTAAACAATTCAATTCACACTGGGCTCAACTGTTCACCAATGCTACCGCCACATTTGGGGGAGACACACAGCACAGCCGGGAGTCTGCTAGCTGTGCTTCCTACAATGCCAGCACGCATCTAAGGAGCTGGCATGGTTTACCTCTACGGAGTCTCAATGCACACCCTAATACTGTGGTTATTTCCATTTGGTAGGATTTGAACTTCTCTTTCTTCCTCTGTAAAAGGGAGACCACTCAGGTCTAAACAGCCTGGCGAGGATTTGAACCCAGGCATATGTGAATGCATGAGCTCCATGCCTGCGGCAGCACGGCGGCAGTCAGTGACCCCCCTGGAGGCCACTGTGTGAGTTATCAACCACAGCAGGCTCCTGGGAGGCCTGTTCTAGGGGCATGAAAGCCTGGCAGGCTGCTGGAGATTGAATTCTGGTTGCGCGACTTAGTACCTCTGCATCTTTAATCTCTCTGAAGCTTTTGTTTCTTGACCTCTGTGGATACATAGAACAGTCTCTCAGCACCAGAAGGGACTCTAGATTCATAAACTTCCCTAAGTGGTCCTGCTTCTTGTGTCCCAGGCCCGGCAGGCTCTCAGGGTGGGCAAGGCAAGGCCCACCGCTCACCTGAGTGGATGGGAGAGTCGTAGCGACTGGTGGACAGGCAGGCTCTCTCCCGGCTCTCCTTTTCCATCTCCTCCTTGAGGATCAACTGACCCAGGCCTGACTTAAGCTAGTCATGCAAAGAAAACAAAAAGGAAAATGAAAGCCAAGCCTGCAATCACTTTCACTGGACTATAGCTTTTTTTTTTTTTCTCCACCCAGGTACAGGGGATCAAACTTGAGACCTTGCACTTGGAAGGCAGGCGAGGTGCCGCTGAGCTAAATCCTTAAAAGATTATAGTCTTTTAAGAAGGTCTTATAGGAACTTCCTAACCCTGACAGCCAGAACACAGGCCAGAGTGTGGCGGTTCTCAAGAAGGAGGTCGGTTGGGAGGTCCTAAACCCCTCTCAGCTTTTCTCTGACTGAGGAATGTTTTCTCTGTCTTTTCCCTCCCCCAAATCGCCAGCCTGAGACCTCAGAGGGCATGCGTATGTATGGATTTCAATGCGAGATGTGGAGGATGGGAACAGCATTTCTTAAAAAAGAAATTGCACTGATTTGATTAAAAACAAAGAAAAGGAATACATGCTCCCTGCACATAATTTACAAAATCCAGAGATAAGGCCATTTGCATTTTGACTTACATCCATTTAATGTTTATACATAGTCTATACAAAACTGGCATTGTACTTTGTATCCTTTCTTCCCGTGTAATTAATGACGTGCATTTCTAATCTCTGGAAAGCACCAGCCCTAGGGATGGAAGGTTATTAATGGTTATCTTTTGGGGGATGCTGCAGGCCCTTGCTAAAGGCAGGAGGATGTGATGGGGGTGTCACGGCGGCAGTCCCCTCGATCCCTGTCCTCCTGGTCCAGACACACACGCGAAGCCCTCCCAGTCCCAAGGGCAGATGGAGAAAGGCCCCGTCCCAAGGGAATTCCTCCAGCAGGTCCTGCACATGCCAGCTGGGTACCACCTCGCTCCACCCAGCACAGACACCCTACACACTCCACTCTCCTTGCTGCTCCCCTTCGACCTCCAGCCTCAGCGTCATCTCCTCTCAAGCCGGTGCATATTCCTTCTTACCCTCATTACCGTGCCCATCGTGTCTCGCCTGTCAGGCTACAAGCTCTGTGAGGGCCGGGACCACCTCCTTCTCATCTTGGTGGCTTATACTTATGTTAGGGAGCTAGGACTGAAGACAGCAGCAAGGTAGTCTAAGGACAAACCTTCATCAATTGTTCTTCTTGAAGCTGCCGGCGTCTCAGAAGTTCCTCCTCATCCTCCTCTCTGCCACTAGATCTGCGTCTCATGTCCGTTCCTAATTCCACAGCAAAGACAGCTTCTCATATCAGGCCCACGACAAGGGACCCTAACGGACTAGCCCATCTGTGTACATTTGTTAGGCCTTCAACATCTTGAAGGGAGCAACCTTAGGGGACCCCCCAACAAAGAAGCATCAAGGCTGATTTGTCCTGAAAAACAGTCCCTGTGTCAAGCTACACAGCTGTGTATGACAGGAAAGTGTGAAGTTGGGCCTCCCAACAAGTGGCTGCTCAATTTTAACTGTGTGAACCACGGAGTAACCACGGGACATGGCTCCCTGTGGTAAATGGGAGGGGAACCGAGCCACTACTGGATGCCCCAGACATCAATTTTTCACATACAGGATAATCCAAATTTGCCTACATACCAATAAACCAATAAGACAGTCGTTCTATTTGGCAAGTTTAAAAATCTTGTAGTCATCTCTTTTTCTGAACATTTAGACTTTTCATAAGACTATCACTGACTATTAGTGAATCCATTAGGAAGCACATTTGTTTTTTTTTTTTTCAAAGGACGGGTCTCTAATTTTCCTTTTTCTTATGCTCTGAAAAATGTTCAAAAGAGCTGTGTACTGGTAAGTTAATAAAAAGTGTTAATGTAACTAGAAAGTTACTTTGGAACACTATCACAAATTCCACACAATTTTCAAGCTTCCTAGAAAAAGGGAGACAAGGAACCGGAAGGAGGAATCTGTCTGAACGGTTGGAAGATTGAGATAATCGTTGTTTTCCCTAAATTGCTTGGACTAATCTGGCTGTGGGAGGAAACAGGAAAGTTTGCTAATCTAATCAAAATAAACTTTAACCAACAGTCTTAGTTTTCATCATTTTAATTAATGGACCAGATCGCTTCCTCAATTTGGAACCCAAAGAAACGCTAATCTACTTAGTGATGGTAATTTCAACAGTAAAAATTTAATTTTTCCTCTCTCCAAAGGCTTAGTTGCTTTAATGAGCAACATAATTGAACTGGGAAATTTAAGGACCTCACACACTTCCTGAAAGGCATAGCGTGGCAGATTCTTAGTTCTTAAAATTATAAATGTGAATGTGAATTTTCTTGCTTTAGTTTGCACAAATAAAAATTAATAGATGCAAGTTTGCATGAATTAGATAAATCTCATCAACATAATTGTAGAATACTTGGGGTAACAAGTTAAGTAAATTACCCTTTAACTACTTCCATACATATTGTTTTAAAATCTACTTATAGTGCCTACAAAAGTTATTCCAAGAATGTATGTGATAAAAAATAGCCTGATTCAGGTGATTAGAAAACTTTGGAAAATTGAAGGCCTTTCAGGTATCAACAAAAATGTGAAAATACATTTTCTAAAGGCTAACTCACTAAGATTTTGGTACAATATTAGCTTCCGTATTTATTAATATCTCTTTTTAGGCTGAATGATTTCACTAGTGGCAAAACAGTGAAGACACAGACACAACTGGAAAGCACAAAGCAAAGAATGAAACAGCTCCAAGGTGACATTTTAGCATAAGACTCATGGAAATGACAGATGTAAAATCACATAACTTCACACAACTTCAGATTTCATTTACACCCACTCTTCACAACAGCTCTTCTTAGTAATGGAGAATGTGGTTTTGTGAGAAAGTAAAAGTGTTCCAGTGTTAATACTGCTCGTTAAGGGGACTGTGACTACGACCCAGATTTAGCCTAAAACAAATTTAACGGACACTTGGTAAATTCAGCCACTAGACTCTAATTATACAGAAGACTCTTGCCACAAGGCTGTGTCCAAAAGAATTCTTGACTCCATTGTGCTAACTCCCAGAGTCCCTGCACACCATCAGTTTTGGACCAGTTCTGGATCTCGGTGGATTTGGTTAGAGACAGGCTCAGACAGGTGTGTTTCTGTCATTTGGAAGCACTTGGCACACACACTCACACCGCGTTAGTTTTTTCCACTACCCTACCTCTTGGTTGTCTGTGCTTAAGAGTCATTACCACAGGACACACGTTCCCCTATGTTTCTAACCACTCGTGCTTGACTCTGCGGCATCAGGTGCGTACCTACGGCGGCAAGTGAGGGGGGACCGGGCCAGTGGTCGGTTTCAATCTTTGGTATCTCGCTGGGGTCTGGCGCCTGGGCTGCTGGGAACTTGGAAAACTTGATGATGTCTTCTGAAGACTTGCTCTGGGCTGCCGAGGCAGCTGCATCTAGAGGGGACAGGGCTGCTCAGCTATTGGTCTGTAAGGCAGTGGGGCACAGCCCCACAGAGACAGCTTTCTCATTCTCTGGCAAAAGCGAAGAGTCCACAAAGCTCTGCCGAGCACCGTGAACCACTAACTGTCCAGTTACTTCTTGGTGACACTTCAGCTCATTTTCTTGTTTTAGATCAGAAGCAGAGCTTCCTTCTACATCTGAAAAAAACTTGTTCTAAAGCTCCACGTGTCTATTTACATCTAAACAAATGAAATTAAAACCAAAACTGAATAAACTCAAAATTAAACTCCTTGGTTGCACTAGCTGTATTTCAAGTGCTCAGTAGTGAGTCACATGAGATCAGTGGCTACTGTTCTGGGCAGCACGGATACAGATCATTTTTACAATCGTAGGAAGGTTCATTCCTAATTATTCTCCCCGAGTAAATGCACTTGGAATTAGAAAACTTGAATAATTAAAAATTCGAGTAATTAGAAATTTGAATTAAAAATTAGAAATTAAAGAGCTTAATTAAAAGTATACACGTCACTGGACTGCAGTTATTAATCCTTTAGAGAGGTGGCTGGTTTTGAATCTCTGAGCCTGAAGTCATGAATAAACCAGTCCGATTCATTTGGGTCCTTATGCACACCTTCATCCTCGCATAGGCCCTGGTGTCTCAGGAGAAATGGAAATGGTGAATCTCACTTTCAGCTTGCAGGAATCTAGCACTGTGATTACGTTTACCCTCTTCCCTCACTGTGTTGTTCCAGGGTCTATATGCTCAAGTAAGGCCACCACCCATAAACTGACAAAAGCCAAGCCAGCAGGAACACTAGTCCACAAACTTCTGAATGACTATTCTCTGAGGAAGCCCAAAGCAATTGAGTTGGAGCAAAACAAACCAGGTTAAATGGTCCATTTCTGATTCTGGCTAATTTTACAAACTGGCTTGGGACGTTACTAATATTTAAAAGTTTCTTAATAATGCCTTAGATTTTTTTTTCATTCTCGGCTTCTAATTTAAAATCTGGAAATGATCTTTTGACTCTTTGGCTCTGATTTTTCCCATTTTTCTAGTAACCTTCTGGGTGTCAATTTGCTTGCCTTGATGAAGAAGACCCAGAAATAAGGGGAAAAATCTTGGGAAGGCAGAGACAGTATTTCTCAGTCTTTAACTTCATGAGGAAAAATATCTCAAGTGTGGGAAACTCTGATAGTAATCACCTTGCCAGAGATCCACAAAATATGTTAACATAGGAAAGTCTATGTTAGTAGACATAGGAAAGTCTGCATTACAAAAAAAAAGAAAGTGATTTAATTTAAATTTGGCATTTCTCAAACACATGGAGGCAGACACCAGTTTGAGGCATGGCATGTATTTGAGGTGGACAGGCAATCCTGTATTTGTCACGAAGTGCTGCTTTGGCTATAATACTGTTAATTAATTACAACAAACACTTCAAAGTAAATATTATGGAAAGAGCCAATCTAAGCCTTCCACCAAGTAAAGTGCAACATTATCCAATCTCCTTAAATCTTAATTATTTTCTTATTTTTTGTTCAGAATGATAGGGCCTATTTTATTTTTAAAAATCTTAAATCAAACTCTTGGAACCTTACTAACAAACAAAAAAGCATGACTTCAAACAGTACTTACGCATTAGAATTGGTGAAGTCAGTAGTTAAACATTCACATGTTAATGAGTGTGCGGGAAGACGTTAAACCATAAAAAACAAAAACAAAAACAAAAGCAATGTTAAACTTAAAATGCAAGCGGGTGATGTAAAATTCTGAAAAATAATGGAAACAAAACAAAACACATGGCTTTAGAATCATTACAATACATATTTTCTCATTTTCTCTCTATATTTTCCCCTAACATTTTCTGTGTTGTTTCCAACTTTTTTTCATTTTTCGTAAGTCTTACTAACTGGTTCATATCCACTAGAGTCTAAAGGCAGCCTTCAAATTTCCAGGCACAACTTGTGCATAATCTTCTGGAATCACTGGATTTTTCTGGAATTTTGTGACTATCTAGTCACAAAGATTTATGGCAGACAAATCCAGAGAGACCTACAGAAGCTGGAGGAAAATGTGATTTACATAAATTAACATGATTTATTGAATTTAAAATATCTGTATTCCCAGAATAGGAGAACATAATTATGAATCCACTTCAGTGTTTCCTATTTTGCAGGGATTTCAGAGACAGATCCATCTAACTCACGGTCCTTAGAGATGAGAAAACTAAAGCCCAGAGGAATTAGGTCCCTGACGACACAGCTACAGAGGTAGGAAGAGGTACCTGGGTAGGCACCTGTCCACTTGCGCCCTGTCCAATGCATGGTGCGGACAACCGCACACCTGGTAAGAAGCAGGGAGTGGCACAAATAAGTCCATGTGGCCTCAGTCAAACTATTTTTGGTAAGTGGCTCATTTTTACTAGTTTTAATTAGTCAAGCTAATTGCAAGCTCAGAGGTATTTTAGAGGTTGGTTAAATTATTTGATGGCAGAAAAAGAAAAAAAAAGTCTTGTTAGGATGCTTGCGGGCTGTTGGCTGATCAATGACTCCTTCTCTGTGGCTGGAATCATACACAGTTTGATGGGCCTGTAAATACACTGGAAATGTCTAACTGAGCTAAGTGTTCTCCATCCTGGAAGGTTAAAATTTGCATCTTATTGGACCATAAAGGTAAAATATGTTGGATGCTTCAGTTTGGTTCTCAAAAGCAGCAGGAGATGAGTTTCCAGAAGACAGCAAAGAGTCCAGCTCCCTCTGCTACTTAAAAGCAATGGGAGGGAAGTGAGTTTTACCATGCTGTTTGTAGATGGGTGGTTTTCGGTAAATGTTGATCCCTTGATCTGTGGAAATAAAAAAGCAAAGCTGTGTGATTATGGGAACCAGTTCTGCGATGAGAAACAACAAACCAACCAAGGAACCAAACAAACAGAAGACTTGGTGAACAAAAATAACCCAAAGGCTAACTTTTGTATTACAAAGATTGAGTTCACTGGAAGAAGAGATTAACAGAAATGGGTGAGTTACGATAGACACGAGACATGAAAAGTCTTTGTAATATGTCATAGCATACAGAGAGGTGTAATTCCTTTATGAGCCATTTATTTCAAATACTTCACTGAGAGTGGGATTAAAACAGGAAAAAATGCCAGCAGTGCAGGCACTCAAATGGACGGAAGACATAACCAGTTTGGGGAAAGGGCCCCAAATTGCTACTGCCTGGAAATTGAGCTTCCAGGAGACACCAATGGCTCAATTTACCTTTTCAATTAATGAGGAGAACAGTGGGAAGTGATGTAGACAAGTTAAAAAAAATATTTTTTTAAATCATAGAAATATCTTTAATGTGCAAGGCTAACCCAGTTGTATGGATGGGATATTCAAACAAAAACCCTATTTGTATAGGTCAAATTTTTAAAAAAAGGGGAAAGAAAAGTGGTGCTACTATTCTTATATTCATAGAGAATTCCACTGCATTACGCTATCATTTCACTTTAACTGCAAATATTCAAGAAAATTTAAGAGGTTTCTGACTCGACGGAGGCATTCTTCAAGTGAAAAATCCCAGATGTAGAACAATGATTTTAAGATTCAATGAAACTTTATAAAAAGGGCACTCCTAGCTTAGTGGTACCAATCTCATTAAACTTTCCCGTTTTATTAGAGTAAATGTACATTGCCCCCAAATATCACCGATACAGATTCCAAACATGTATACTTACATTAATATGTTGGGTAATTTATTAAACTGCTTTTAACAGGTAAAAGAAGCAAAACTGTACTTCTGATGGAAGAATAGTATCATGGCCTCTGATGGTCGAGCCCACCCTTACCAATCAAGCCAACCCTAAATAGTAAGATATTGATGCTTTCTTTTCTTCCAGTGTCTGATGGCAAATTACTGTTTATGCTGTGACAGCAAATGCTTGTGACTACGAAAGCAAAGCCTGCAGTGCCAAGCCTAAATTGCAAGATATTTGTGTGGCCGTGGAGGTGGCTTGTCAGCTGAGGACTGCAGAAAGACCATCCCATTGAGCCAACGCTGCATTTGCTTCCAAAGAAAAATCCATGGAAAAAAAAAATGTCCACAGGAGCAAAACTAGAGACAAGCAGGAAACACAAATGTGACAACACTGTGTTCAATCTTTAGGATGAGAAGTAACTAAATTGCCGTGGCAATAGTTACCAGACACTCAACCACAGAGTGGTATCTTAGAAGATACTAATAAAAAAATAAAAAAAGTTAACCAAAAAATAAAACACAGACCAAAAAAAAAAACCCACCCCAAACCAAACCAGCCAATGCCTCTCCTTTACCCCATCTCCTGTCCTTTTCAAAAAATTGGAGGGCTGGGGATAGGTTCAGTGGCAGGACATTTGCCTAGCATCGTGAAGGCCTGGGTTTGGTCCCCAGCACTGCAAAAATGATAACAAAAATTAAGAAACCTTTAATGTGACCTTGGTACCTCACATACAGCTCTTTTGAAAGGCCCCCTGGGTCAGATCCTGCAATTTAGGGTTTGTCAATTGTGTGCGTCACAATTAATGAGCATGGGGAATGGAGACGAGACAGTTACAAGGCTACATTCTACACGGCGACAGGACACCAAGACAGACCACGTCAGCTCCTACCTGGAACATGGAAATGTTTAGGGGCCTGAGCGAAAGTTGGAGTTAGAGGGCGACTGTCGGGCCGGTAAGGGAGAGGGGAGTTCCGGCCGCTGGACGGCTCATTGCCTCCAATAAGAATGGAGAAAACAAAATGAGAAGAGAGAGCAATAAAAAAAACAAAAAAAACCAAAAAAAAACCAAACCAAAACAAAAAAAAACAAGAAAAAACAACAAGCCAGCGTAATCAAAATTCAACACAACAGTTGGAAGGAGGTACATCAGAGAGGAGAAACAAAGGAAACACACTCGATTTATCAACTCGGATCGCCAAGGTTCTATCAGGGTTAGTTTTCCAAAGGGGAGATTTGAGTCCACATGGATGGAGGTTCAAAGCAGCTAGGATCAGATGCATCATTCCAATGGCATGCGGCTGAAGGCTGTGAGCTAGTGGCAAACAGATTAGATGCAAGTCCACCGGGAGGGATGGAGCATCACTTGCTACTGATTCAAGATCAGTCGTCAGATGATTAACCGCCAAGCATGGAGAGGGGCGGGATATGGGGTACAGGTGCTTCCAGGAAGAGGCCGGCTGTTAGAATTGCGTTTCTCTAGGGAGGGCTAAGACCAGGTCACCTGGTCCTTTCCCTTATGCATATGAAGCACCTTCATTGCAGCTTAAGTTTCTGTTTTTCTCACTTTGAAATATACAAAATAATATCAGAATCCTTTCTGTCAGGTATGTGGGAACCACTTATAGTTTTCTCTATCTTCTCTTCCAAGACCACCACTTTACAGGGGCTCTGGGCTTTATCACCAGTACAGTTCCTGTACAACCAGTGTGGGTGGGCACTGGTTACTATCCAGGTCAAACAGGTGACTGAAATATAATCTCCACCCTGCAGGGCCCCAGAGTCTACCTACTGAGGCAGACTGAAGACACACACACACACACACACACACACACACACACACGCCCCTACACCCGTATGGCTGACTACTCAAAAGTTCTAAGAAAAATGCTAGGAGATGAGATGCAGGGAGGAAGACTCCCTGGGCCAGGCACCAAAGAGGAAGGTCCCTCGGGGAATAGGAAAGCCCATATTCTGGAAGGCAAGGATGGTGTGTGGCAGGGCCACAGTAAGGGGACTCCAGGCCCGGCCACTGGGGCTGGACAGAACTGTGCTCTTGGAGGGGAAAACCGGAATGCGACTGTCAAAGGCTCGAGGGCCTCCAGGGCCACCACCACGCCTTGTAACCTTAAAGGGAGAACTGCAGGGAAGTTTATGCAACCTGGAAAGAGATCAGCTAATGCTTTAATTTTTCCTTCTACCACATATCTGGGCGGATATCCTGTCCCAAGAATATGTCAGAAGATGTGGGACTATTAAAAGTCAATGAATTATAATACAAATTAGCAACAATTCTTTATACATTCTGATACATACCTTATCAGACAAGATTTGCAAATATTTTTCCCCTTCTGTAGGGAACTGGAATTTTTTTTTCAATTTCTTGGGCACAAAAGTTTCTAATTTCAATAAAGTCCAATTTATTAATCGTAATAATTTTAATTAAATGATAGCTCATTAACAGAGAAAGCTCTAGCTGATATCTTCAAGTCAAACTGTCCTTTGGCTAGGAAAGTATGAAAGAATTCAATTGTTAGAGTTCTAAAGCATGCTGAATAGTTTTAATTTCTCAATACATACATGTTTAAGTAACTAGAGACCAGATCTGTACCAAATGACCAATAAAATATTCCAAATATGAGATCTGAATTTGTTACTAGCTCAGTTTTAGATTCTAGGCTTTTGGTAGTATTCTGAAGCTTGCCTCTCCTCCTCAAGACTCTTTAGCAATGTTATAATATTGATTTGGTCACTTAAATCAAATATTAGCTTCCAAAAATTATAAAGCAGCCCAAACTGCTCATTTTCTAAAATGAGCTGACAGCTCATTTAACTGACAGCTGGGCGTGGTGACACACAATTGCAATCCCAGCACTGGAGAGGCTGAATCAGAAGGACGGATCCAAGTCCAGCCTGGCAACTTACGGACTTAGCAAGACCCTGTCTCAAAATATAAAATGAATGAGGTGGGAGAGGGACGTTGAGGCTGCAGCTCAGCATAAAAGCAAAAACTGCAAAGAAAAGGTGACTGCATTGAATCTGACTCTCTCAAAGCGCAGTAACTAGTTCATGTTTGAAAAAATGCATATTAAAAACCCAGATAGAGGTGAGCGGGGGCAGGAAGGTTACAACTTGCACTCAGAAGGAAATGCTGCGCTAACCCCACAGCTAAATCAGAACGGGGCCCATTCGTCCTCCCCAGTGCTCAGCACACTGGGGAGCTCAGCCTAAGTAAGTGCCTCATAAATAAATGTGAGTGAACCATTGAAGGAGACCAACTAATTACTTCCACAGGTTCATATGGCCTAACTTAGTAAGCACACTGCAGGATTAACCATCCTCTTGCTGATCCCTTAATTAGAAGGAGCCAGATGCCGCGATAGGGCAGTGGGATCCCAGCAGCACCCCCTTTACAGGTTTCCCCTTCCAGTCATCCCCCCAAAACTCCAGTTTAACTGTTTCACAGAAGAATCCTTTAACCCTATAAACATTAGAAAATTACTAACGAGAATAATCCATAATCAAAAAACAGAGTACTTCTTGGGGCTTTTCTCAGAAGAGGGCACAGAATCTCTTCCCCCTTCTTGCTGTTTTTCTTTTTTTTTTGGTACAAGGGATCAAACCTTGAGCTTGCGAGGCAGGTGGTGGCACCACTGAGCTAAATCCCTGGCCCTCTTATTTTATTTTAACTGGTCTTTTATTTTAACCAGTCCTGAGCACTGGCCCCTATTCTGAACCACACTGCTCCTTGCCCCTGGCCCCTCACCTCTAACTGTAGTGACCTTATACCTGACCAGACAAAATTCCACTGAATCTGTTCTGCTAATTACCAGTGTCATGCACACACAAAAATACCTGCATATGTAGGACACGAAGGTTGAAGGCTGTCAGAATGAGACATCTGTCCGAGTATTAAAATATTTGTCAATCAGATACTCTGCTGCAGATGGTGGCAAAAATCCATCATTTCTTAGGTCAGGTCAAAAAGCCTGAATTCCCCATGGGTGAATTCTGATTGAATGCTTTCACCATTTGGGTACTGATCTTTTTTAGGAGATGTATATCTTTAGCAGTTGCTACCTCTCCAGTTGTTAAAAAAAAAAAAAAAAAACAACCTAATATACTCAAGTCTTTTAAAGTAGACTTAACTCTGTGATCGTTTAAAATTTCCCACAGAATCTTTTAAAAGACACAGTGCAATTCAGCAACACACTCATATTCTGTGGGTCGTGACGTTCATGCAGCACAGTGACTCAGGGACAAACAGGTCTCCAAACAGAAAATGTTGTTGCTAAGTATCAACTCCTTAGCTCTTCAAATACCAAAGGGTTGAAATACTTGGGTGCATTTTTAAAAGAAAAAGAAGAATCCTCTGTTCCTTTTCTAACATAAACACCCTATCTTTAAATAATATAATCTTCAAAACCACCCTGGCAGAAAATTCTGAGCTTAGCTCCTTACGTGGGCAAACTACAGCATGAAGCACTGGATGAAATACATTTGGAAGGAATCAATATTATCATCAGTGTCATCATCATTATTGACATCATTACTCATTGGCCTGGAATCAAATGCTTTTAAAAGTAATATACTCATATGTGCATATAGATGTGTGCATATATCACACGTACAGCTGTTTTGTTGCTTACCTTGGTCCTTGGGTTATCTTAAGCTTTTGGTGACCTTAGCTATTTTAATGAGAAACGAATCCCATATTCATATTTCTTGGCCTTAATGTTTAGATTTTCTGTATTACCCTAATGAGACAAATTTTTTGGTACTTGGGAGGCCAGTGATTTACATGATTCTCACTGTAATTATGAATTCAAATGCTTTCCTCGATTTCATTCTTCTTGGTACCACAAGAGCCTGAATACAGATGGAGGTGCATGATTTTGTTATGGAAACTGCTGGAGCACTGCCTGGCTCTCAGGATTATGTGCTTGTATTCTAAAATATAAATACGTATTTGCAAGGGGCCTTCATGATGGCAGCATCTAGAATATTTTGTGACAGAGTTTCAAATTATTGGGCCTTCAGCAATCAGAAGGGTCTAGAACTTCAAAAAGAGGTTTAAAATGTATTTAGTAAATATTGAATTTGTATTTGTATCATAGTAACTCTTATCTACGGCAAAACAGCAACCATTCCTTTCAAAGAGTCTTAATTTAGGTAGCTCACCACTCACAAATAAAATTCATACTTCCTGGACACAGCACGTAACGTGTAGCAGTATCTCAAATGGGAAGGAAGAGAAACTCACCAAACATCGCACAAACATTGCTCAAAACAAAGTGAAAATATTTTTTTTTGGCAAATCTGTCAGCATGAAGTTGTCCTAAAGGCCCAATGATGACATGCTAATAAAGATTGAGGCTGCAAGGAAGGTTAGAGAAATAAAAACAAACCTTAAAACAAGATGGGCATTACAGAAAATGAATGGGGAAGCCAATGGAGCAGAGAGATGGTCTGTGACAGGCACCTCAGCTCTGTACCCATGCAGGCATCCTCAGCTCCGTGAGCCCCAGGGGCCTGGGCCACATGCAGAAGAAACAAGCACCAGGAAGTGTACTTGGATCACAGAGGCTGGGCTTCCTGATGCCAGAGTGGCAGGGCCCCTGCTGCTTCTCCACACCTGAGATGGTTCCTGAGCTGTTATCCTGCTATGCATCAAGACCCCCAGCTCACACCCACTTAAATAAATAACTCCCCTCTGAGCACAAGTCGGGCTCTCAGATACCTAGTGAGCGGGCAAATCAGGGCCTGGAAGATCCTGGGTGCCGCTGGCCCATTTGAAAGATCTCGTTTGTGTAATTCAAAGGGCTGTGCATTTCCTCCATTCTGAAATTTCCAAGTCCTGGAGAGGACTTCCTTGTAAATGGATATGCTTTTTAAAATAACCAAGAAGTGATCCTTTGAAGAATCATCATTTATTCATTCAAATACATTAGGTTTTTAAAACAGTATCTTTATACAAATTCTCCATGATTTTTTTTAGGTTAGCAAAAAGCCCACCCAGTTTTTTTTTAAAAAGAAGCATATAACTCTTATGTACATAACGTTTTATTTTTGAAATATATAAAATTCTCTATGAATAAAATATAGGCAGATATCTAGTAAAAAGAAAATGAGAGGGAAATCTTAAGTTTTTTTTTAAAAGTGTAAGCTAAGGGTCATCTTAATTCCTCTTGGTCTAGTGCTTTTTATAATTTTGACTAATAATATGTGTCAAAAACTTCAGATTCAAACCGAAAATAGAAAAGTATATCTACATTTTAAACAATGCACCAAGTAGGCACACAGAGGTACTATAATTTTTATAACCATTTGATATTTCTGTTATAAAGCAAAAAAATTGTTGAGTTTTGTAATTTAAATGACTGAAAAGTTTTCTTTTTTGGTACTAGCCTCAATAAGAATGCAAGTTTCTTGTTAAAGAGATGTAAAATAAAAGATTACTTTAAAAAATTTTTTTTGGTACCGGGGATCGAACTCAGGTCCTTGCGCTTGCGAGGCAGGCCACTGAACTGCTGAGCTAAATCCCTGGCCCTATTTTAAAAATTATATTTCATGGCTGAGTGTGATTGGTACATGCATATAATCACAGGACTCTGAGAGACTGAGGCAGGAGGATAACAAGTTTGAGTCTAGCCACAAGCTTTTGGTCAACTGGTAACCACAACTTAGTGACAGACACCCTATTTCTCAATAAACACGTAAGTAAATATGGTTGGGTATTCAGCTCAGCACACAGGCCCTGGCTTCAATCCTCAGCTCACCTAAGGTAAACAAGCACTGCTAGGGCTGAGAAGGCCTGCGGTTTGGGCCAAATGCTGCCCCTTCCTAGTGGTGAGCCTGTGGCCAGTTAGGAACCGGGACCTGTGGTCCTTGGTCTTTCTGCTGGGCCTGTTTCCCAGGGACACTACGAAGAGCAAATGGAACGATGCCACCAGGACCGCTTCAAGAGCCTCTTGCTGACCCTGGTGTGCTCTGCACCAGGATCTGTCACCTCACACAGCCTAGCGGCCTGGGACCCGGGCCTCATCCTGCCTGCAAGCAACACTTAAAAGGTTAACAACCCTAGGTCATGTAGCCAGCGAGTGACACACGCAGTATTTAAATCCAAGATACCAGTTGTCACGGACTTTGTGCCTCTTCCATGGCTACTCACAGATACGAAGTATTTTAGTCACTGACATTTTGTGCAAACTTTATAAAACTGTATAGGGCCCATTGTGTTTTTTATTCTACATTCCGAAAGAAGAAACGTAATAACCAAATGAGGAAGCTTACATCTGAATGATGAAAAAATGTATTTTTCACTTGAATGTTAGAAGTAACAGCAATCAATTCATTTGGCCAAGGGCTTCTATATTAAATTGTATTTAGAATACACACTGATTCTTATTCGATCATTCCTTTATGGTTTATAAGCATTCTCAAAAGTATCATCTTGACATTTACATGATAAAAATTTCCCCCCAAATACTAATTAGCAATGAGCTTTAAATACTCTGTCAAGAGTTTTAGAAAGTGCTGTGCCTACCAAAAACTTTTGCTAATGGCAGATGGTGTGATTCTTCAATAACACGTCAGCAGTATTATTTTTGAAGCACAGACAATGCTGAAATAGCAAATTTGTACTGATAAGCTCAGTGCATCTACACTTGCGGACTTAGCTACTCAAAAATCTAAGTGAGCTAGAAGAAAGACACTCGGGTAGACAACAGTGGAAGAAGCTCAGTAAACTAGAGCAACACTTCGGCTACTTCATCAGTCATCAGTGACGGGAGTACTTAGAACACACGGCTAGCAGCCTTTAAGATTGCTCTGACATCCACGATAACATCTGTGCCCGCTTCCTCTGACTATTTTTGTTGGTTAATTTGGTTCAAGTCAGGACTAAGGAACAAGCTGGTGTCCCTCTGGGAGTGCATACTTAATTTAAATTATGGCCCAGCAAAGCTTATTGGCTCCCCAACCTGCAGAGAGCCCCAGCTGAGAACTGCTACAGAAGCATAAGCGGCCATGTAGAAATAAACAACAGAAAGGCCAGAAAGGAATTGGAACAGAGATGTGAGGCAGGAACAGAAAACAGAAGGCTAAGCCTCTCTTCCCCATCAGATGGAAATTAGGACAAATCAAAGTACTCTGAGAATTGGCTCAAAGAGAGAAATTTAAGTTAAGTTGTCACAGATCATTTTTACCTCGCCCAAACACGTTACTATAGTAAAATGTCTTATCACCATGAAGGTGACTTTTGCAAATTCATGATAAATACTTCTGTGCTTCGCTGAGACATATTAAACCCAGACAATACATCAAGTATGTAACATATCTTGTTTTTCATACAAAAACAAAATAATAGCACATACTTTTTTCCCAAAGTGGTGGATGATAAATCTTACAGTCAAATATACTTCCTGTTTCTTCACCTAGAGCCCTTAGAAATGACACATCCTTCTGAAAGCAAGACACTATGCCAGTTCTAAGGCCGCCTTTCCGTACTCATGGCACACACAGGCATGCTGGAGGGTCAGAAGCTCGGGGGCACTAACTCTTGGAGATCCACCTTATTAGCCTTGCCAGGGTGCTAATAAATCTCCACTACAGGTGCGCCTGCCTCCTTACCTTTGATGTGGGGGAGGAAGTGGTGTCTGAAGGGGGGGTTGGGGCAGGAGTCCCTGTGGGTGGAGCTGAAGCTGCTGGTGCGCAGGTGGGACAACCTCTGCACACCAGGAGACAACAGCTCTGCGCGGCAAGGAATCGGGCAGGGCGAGGGGAGACAGAAAAGAAGAACAGAAATTAACACAGGAGCAGGGAAAGCAGCATTGTTCGAGGGAGGAAAACAGAGAGCGTTAATCAGGAGTCTGAAAAGGGAGGAAGGAGAAAGGGTTACAGGCACCTGTGGACAATCAGGCAGAGTGGGGAGAATCTGCAGGTAGGGTTGGGCGGATAGAGAGTCACTTCTGAGAATAAATGTCTGTGGTGGGGAGAAGAAATGGTGCTCAGGACATTCTCAGGCAGGACGACACATCACGTAGACTCAACAAAAGCCATTTTCAAAAAGCACCTAACAAAACAGAACCCTCCGGTGCGCGTGAAAAAAAGAAAATGACCATCACTTCTTCAAAAAACTTGAAGAGAAGCACCCGCGTGAAAGGGTCGGATTAGTTTTTGAACGGCACACCTATCCCTTTGGAAATCATCTTATTTCACCCACAAAAGAGAAAAATCCTTTTGTATTCCTCAAAGGACAAAGCTAGGTATGGTGCCGACAGCTGTGCATGGAAATGAAATGCTGGGGGTGGGAAACTCAGCACCTCAGAGGGAAGGAGAGACCACTGAGACGGACTCAGACCCCAGGGGGTGGAAATCGTCATTGGGTATCCAGCAGTTAGTGGCCGACACTGGGATACTGCAGGTGGGTCACAGGTGGGACGGCAGTTTCGCCTCAAAAATTATTGCAAGCCTAACACCTGCTGTCACGCGTATCTGGAAGACGAATGAGAAAGGAGAAAGTTCTAGGTTCCTGGCATGTGGGGTGGGATGAAAACTTCCTACCACTCACTAAGGACAGGAGCTTTCAGGGAACCAGTGTGGCTGGCCGGCCACCCCTATGTGTTCAGGGGTCTCAGGGAGAGAGACCCACAGGCCCTGCCGCTCTCAGTGCTGGGGGATCAGTGATGGCGGGAGGCGGACACAGCATAGAGCATTTCCGTCACCCAGACAGATGATGGCTTAAACTGAGAGAACAAAATAGCCTGAAAACTTTCATTTAATATAATCCAATGGGTACTAATTAGCGTATATACGATATATGCCTGGAGAAATGGATACATTATCAAAGGATACAATATTTTCAATCTCTTTGGTTAAATCCATGTCTTTAAGGAGAGCATCGCATCCTTCTTCTTTTTACATTGCTAATTTGCTCCTGTTTTATTTCTTGTACATCTTATTAAAAAGTCAGCACTGAATGAATCTGTTCTCATCAAACTGGCCAGAAGCAAGAAGCTTAAAAGGAAGTCTTCAGAGATGTATATCATTACAAAGTTTGTTTAGAGGTTAAAAATCTCCCCTATGACTATTTCTGGAGAAATTCTGGATCCGTCCTGGGATCTCCATTCATCTGCCACACACACGTGACCCCACTAAAGGGTCACAGGAGTGAAATTCTCTGCAGATAAAGGTCAACACCAATGTCCCCTACTGTGTGACATTCTCCATGGGAGTACCTCCCTGAGGTTTCTGTTTTCCAAGTCTGAGTCAGAATCCTGGAGTTGGAAGATATGCCAAAAGTCACCTAGTACAACCCCAAGTCCTCCTTCTACAAGTTCCTATCGGGCACGCTTAGTAACACATGTATGCGGCTGGATAAGAGCATTACAAACAGGTCAACAAGTGGATTTTCGATGATACTGATCTGCCTAAAAAGGACATAACATTTTTTCATTTGGAAATCCTCACTTGGGAGTCTCAAAGTGATGAGATGGGCAATAAGGGGGGAAAAAATCTCCTTTGCTTCCAGTACTTCAGTGTCTAAAGGTAATTTAATAAAACAAAATGAAAACAGCCACCACAACAGGACCGCTATTTCAAGAAAAGATATAACACAAAATACAACTGGATACCAGTTTTCATTTAGTTCCAGGATAGGGGTCGAAATATTCAGCAGTCAGATTTATCAATAGGCTACCAACAGAGCGGGGAGGCACCCAGAGAGACCGCTTCTTAATGAGGAGCGGATCCCAGAAGAGCGGCCCTTACCAGGTCTGTGGAAATGCTGGGGAGAGCGTGACGTGGTGGGGGTGTAGCTGTGCCGGCTGTACACAGGGGAGTTGATGGAGCCCTGGCTGGTGGACCGGTGGATCACCCGATCCCGGACATCCTGGTAGCCCTGGGAATAAGGTGGGAGAAACAGTAAGCACAAAACACATCAGACCGGCAGCACATCCCGGGGAAAGCCAGCCCACCAACACTGCTGGGAAGCTACCGCGTCTACCCGTTTGTTCATTCTGGGGGCTTATTTTATAAACACGTGTGCTCGTCAGCATCCAGAGGCTGATGTATTTTGGTTCTGCAGCCCTTGTAACTAAAGTTTTAATATGTAAAATAGCAAGTTTCAATCCTCACAGAGCTGTGGGAAAAGAGGTCATGATCCCAATGAGCGCATTTAGATCGTGCGTTTCAGTCACAGAGCATTTGCCATCCACGTCAGGCTTCCTCGCCTGGCCTCCTTCCTCACTGCCAGAGGAACAGGCTCCGCGCTGGCCAGGGACCCACGGTAGGTCTCCGGCTGGCACAGGTGGGCTGGCTTCACAACTGGCATCCTCCTGCTGCTCTTGCCCACTACTCAGACCACCAACCCGTGGCACCCAAAACACTGGTCTGGTGACACTGTCACCAGATGCTCCGAGAACGAGGTGGTGGCTGATTTACGGCCAGTAATTCTACTTCTCGCCTTGGGAAACACAGGCCGAGAAAATAATTTTAAATGATCTTTACAGGGAATCATTTATTCCAAGATTTTTTCATAATATCGCTACTCATAAAGCATAAACTGGTACTTCAACTGGAGAATAATTAAGAAATTACAACTCATCATGATTCAGTGGAATTCAACGGTAGTGCTACTTTATCGCTCAAACCCAGCCCAGAAAAGGATGTATTAGGTAATAATTACCAAAAAAACCAACAATATAAAACCATCAAAATCAGAAGAACACAAAGAATATTTCACATTTTAGGAATCTGTTGCCTTAACGTCTTACGAAGTTTCTACTCTTACAATAAGATTGTGAAAGGTTGCACGAGTAACAGCTAAATTAAAATCTCATTAACACAGCTTTATGAAATCTGAAAGGAAGGAGCAAGAGAACTCTAGCTTTATCCTTAAATTGGCTTCATAATAAATCAAATGTTAATAACAAAACAAGTCTCCAAAGGTTGTGCCTCACTCTTGCAACTGGTCAATAAGAGACGTTAAATCTTCTCAATTTCAGCTGCCAATTATTAGTGCAGTAATAGAAATTATTCATAAAACTCAGCCATAAACCATGAAAATATTGTGTATTTTCTTTCCTATTTCAAATTACAGAGAGTCGGTAGGTTCGTCTAGCTTTAGAACAGAGTACCTAGAGAGCTGTTTGGCTTTAAGGTCAGGCACTATTTTACATCATCCTGGGTAGATATAGATGGGAGACACCTACGTTCCTAGCAGTCTGGGAGGCTAAGGCAGGAGGATCACAAGCTTGAGCTCAGCTGAGATTTAATTAGTGAGATTTTTGTCTCAAAATTAAAAAGAAAAAAAAAAAAGCCAGCGATATAGCTCAATGAGATCTGGGGTCAATCCCTAGTACTGGAGAAAAAAAAAAAAAAAGTTCTGCTTATGGATTCCACTAGGACCAGTATTGACCATTTCAGACAAGCAGAGCCCCAAGCAGACAGCGATTCAGTCACCGCAAACATTTCCCCACCACTTCAGAAGCTCAGGCTCAGACCGCCGGGAGACCATTTCTAGGAAAAGAAATTCACTGCTGTCTCAGGGTCTTATGAAAGGAATCCCTATGTCCACTGTAACTGCACAGTTTTCTGCTCTCTGGTGTGCTGTTTGTCCTTTTTAAGAAAAAGAAACCCAATGTAGGCAAGGGCCAGGCAACTCCGATTCCACTAATTAAGTGGTGAAGATGGTATCGTACTCACTTCCGCTGACGGAGTAGGAGACAAAGTCCTTGGAGACTGGAATGGAAAAGAGATTTCAAAGTCACAAGGTTTGTCAGCGTGTCACTTGGTTTAGTGAGAGGTGATCATCGAATCAGCTGGAAACATCATCCTAAACACACATACCAGCGCCCATGCCTGTCCCTGTCCTTATGCCAACCCCACAGTTCCTGGAGATCCCAGTGCACATTTCTGCCTTCAATTTTAGTCAATAATATTGTTAATAATGTTATTAATTTAATAAAGATAATGATGCTTTTGGTGACCGGGCCAGATAATTGGAACTACTATTTCCTAGATAATCAGACTATGTTCAGCTCACTGCTGTGAGTTTCAGCATCTACAAAGACGTGGGATCTTGTAAACATGGTTGCTAAACTGTAAGCACAGCTCTCACCATAGCATGGTTCACCTGCCAGGAGTGATGGTGCATACCTAGTAGCCCATCCTGCTGCCTCACCACCTCACCTCCACACAACTCCCCACTTCCATGTTTCCAGGCACACAGGCGTCCCTGGGGCCATCCACAGGCCAAACCCTGTGTCACCTCAGGGCCTTTGTACTTGCTGTCTCCTCTGCAGCCCATCCCTTCTCTTAGACCCCTTCAGGGCTCCTGGCCCATCTTCAGTGAGGTGTCTGTTCAAACTCACCTTCACATGGTGCCTTCCATGACCCTTCTTTTTAAAGAAGCAGCCCCATCTGGCAGGCTTCCTTCTTACTTTGCTTTACTTTTCATCATGGCACTATCTCCCCATGGAACTTACTGTCTCCCACGTGGCACTGCAATGGCCCATGTCTAGGGTGTCTCGGCCGGCGACGGTGGCCCCCTGGGGGCAGGAGCCAGCGCTGTCCCTTCTGGGTCCAGCCCACCTAAGCCTTCTGAAGGCATGGATGGCAACACAGAACTTTAAATTTACTCCTCCTGTGTCTCTAAAATGGCAATACATGGATTCTACAAAAGCAGGGTTAATACTTAAAGGAATCAGTATAGTTGTAGAATAGTTTGTAAAGTTTACTTTGTTGCAACACCTATGTTTTGAGGATTGAGTTTACTACCATGTGTGATTTCTGCTCCAAATGGACAGTGTTTACGCATCAAGAAAAAACCAAAGGTTCTTTTTCCGATTATGACTGTACCAGTGTTGATTATGAGAGCAGCCAGCATTCCTGAGCATTTTGTTATTGTGTGCTAAGTATTATTCTTCTCTGAAGCTCTCCCATTAGTCCTTATATAAAAGCTTTGGCGGTAGTATTATCATTCTCTACCTCGAGTTCATAGATGAGACTGATGTAGATATTTTCCCCAAAGTCATATAGTTAGTAAAGAGCAGTCTGGTTATCAGTGCTGAAAATGTCAATTCAAAGCCCAAACTCTTGAGGGATGTTTTACTACTTTTTTTTTTTTGGTACCAAGGATGGAACTCGGGTCCTTGTGCTTGCAAGGCAGGCGGCAGAACCACTGAGCTAAATCCCCAGCCCAATGTTTTACTACTTTAAATGGAGCCACCGGGAAACACACAAACACAAGTCTGCAACATCATAAATAAACTCAGCTCCTCTATGGTTACATGACTTGCTCATTAGTAAGCCAGCCCCTATGCACTCTGTTTTGGAACCTCCTCTTGCCCTTGACTCCCTAGGTAACTCTGCTGACCAGGGGTCACACAGAACAGCAGGTCTGATCTATCTGCATTGGAGAGCCGCTGCCAATGCAGTACAGCAGAGCTACCGCAAGGTGGCACTACACAAAATGGATCTCACTTCCCAGAGCTATGTCCTGGAACAAAACTCAGTTTAAAAAATAAACAAATAAAAGGAATACTGCAGAAATATGAATAAAGATAATCACAAATCAATGGATAATACATGTATATAACTAAGGACGAATGAAACAAGAGTCACTCCAATTTTCACAGCTTTTCTCCCTCTCATTTAAGCCCGAGAACACAGTGACATTTGGGCTTAGCCTTGGCTGGACGGCTGAGGAGAGTCCACTACTTGGGTGACACCTCTTGCAATGAAACTGGGTCAGTCTAGAAAGAGGGGCTGGGGTACACAGTAGAGCATGTACTTAGCCTGCTAGAGGCTCCAGGGTGAAGCCCCAGCATCACAAGAGCAAAAAAAGTAAAAGGGGGGGACCCCAGGGCGGGTCAGATGCACAAGGGAAACAGACCAGAGCCCAAGGGACGTGGGAAGGAGGTCAACAGTGGGGAATCCCCAACCTTGGGGTGGGCCGGGCAGGGAGCCCAGGGCCAGGGAAGCTCTGGTCCAGCAGTGGGAGGGTCTGCCGGTGGGGTAGCCTAGGAGGACAGGAACATCTGCAGTAGCTGCCGTCTACTGTGCATTGGTGACCCCCGGAATTGAGCCAGGTAATTTGACCCTGGCTCGTATCTCTGGGTTATAGAGCCCATCTACTTTTTCTCTTCTTGAACATTCTAACTCCATCAAACTGCTAAAGACTGCAGCTACCAATATCTAGGGTGTATGTTCTTTCTCTCCACAACCCCCACAAATCTTCTTCCAATTTATGTCAAGACCAAGACCCCAGAAGCCTCTCCTTCCCTTACTCTCCCTGGTCAACTTCAGCATTCACCCCAGCACCTGGCTCACTTATCCCACAAACCCCACTGAGCCTCCTTCACTACTGCTTTGTGTGCAGGGAGTCGACCCGCCCACTCTTTAAAAGACCTCCCTTAGGGATGCATTATGTGACAGGTTTTTGAATATTTCAAAAAACATGGCATAGAAATTTGCAAATCGTAGGGAATCGAAAGACTGGTTTAAACTCTATAAACAGTAGCTCTTAAAACTCAGGACTAAAAAGAAAGCAACTGTTGTGCACCTCACAACCACCAGAAATTTATTACCTCTCCCAGGCTCTGCCTGTCCTGTTTGTCATCGTAGCCTGAAGTGTAGAAAGGCTCGTAGGTAATAAGATCGGGACGTTCAATGTCATAGATGGCTTTGACCTTGGGAATGGCCGCTAAATCCTTGTAATCCAGAATTTCATTGTCTACTTTTGCCTGGTAAAGTTGAACAGAGGGAAAAGTTACTCTGCAGCCGTATTTCTTTGAGAAACTACTGGAGCGCTTTTAAAGTCTTGTTTAAAATCCAAAGACCTTTAAAACAAACACCAAAACCATGTTTACTGTGGTCATACTCTTCATAAAACTGCCAACTTATATCACATACCCACTACATTTTAAATTATCAAAAGCTTATGAAAAAGTATTTGCAGAGTTTATTAATTAGAGAAATGTGTAAACCTTAAGGATACTTTCCTAAATTATAAGGAAAAAATCTCAAACAGATGGTCCAAAAAAAAAAAAAAATCCTCCCAGATGGCTAAAAAACAAGAACTGCATCCTATTTAATAAATCAAGTATTTAAATACCTTTATGTCAGAATTTAAGAACACTCAGTAGTAGCCTTATAAATGTATAATGAATCCCCAGGTCTCTGTATGTAATTAGGTACAGTAATTTAAGTCCTACTTCAGACTAATGTATTTTTAGGTCATCTTTTGATGAGACGATCATCTATAAATTGAATTACCTGAAGGAATACAACTGAAACTCAAAAATGAAAACTAGATTCTGTAACAATTAGAAATCGTTTTGAATTAGCTTCTGCTTTCGATTATCTGACCAGCTACTCCAATTCTCACAACTACCGGCCCTAGGAGTTTCCCTTCCAGAAGTAGATACTCACGTAGATGGTATGGCCAGGTGAGCCAGGGATGCTGGATCCAGGTCTAGAATAAATACTCTCAGAGGAGGTCCTGGTAGGCTGTAAAGTAAACAGTGACTTCTCAGTCCTGAGGCTTCAGAGTCAAGAGGGACCTGGGCCCCTAAGCGCTACTAAAAACTCAGCTAGGAGAAAAGGAGAAATGTGGCCCTGTGTGACTGAGGGAATGCACAGTCCAGAGGGAAAAGCCGTGGAACCGAGCTGTGGGGTCCGGCTTGGAAAGCGCGTTTGAGGCTCTCTCGTTCCTGTCCCCCCATCCCTCGAGCGTGTCTCCACGCTGCCCACTTCCCCACCTCTGCAGCCCGAGGCCCAGCTTCTGTCACCCTCTCTGCTTCCCCAGGCTGTGCAGCGGCTCCCTGTGGCTTCCTCTCTCCAGACCCCGCCTGCTTTAGACCCTCCTGGCACCCAGGGGATCTCTGAGGAGAGATCTTTTGAGAGCAACTTATACTGTCAGTATCCTGCTTTCATCTTCAGCATCCACTAAGAATAGAATAACAAATCCCAGGCCTGGGACGTCCCTGCTTTCTTTTCCAACAGTCACCAGTCACTGTTTATAGAACGAGGCACACAGCCCTGCCTCCGGGTTCTCTTCCCGGCTTCTCTCTGCCTCAGATGCTCTTAACCCAACCTCCCCTCTGATTGTTTTGCCTTCCTCAATCATGGCTCAAACATCACCTTCTCAGAGAGCCTCCCTGATCTTCACTCCTCTTGGTTGTCTGGTTTTCTCTCATAGTCATTCTTCTTTTTTTTCCTTTGAGAGTCAAGTATTTACTGGTTTCCTTGCAAGGTATCTGTCCCCTTCATAAACTGTGGTCATGATCTCCGCCTTCACAGTGTTTCTCACTACCACACATACTCTTGGGTCTGCCCGGGCACGCTGGGGGCAGAAGCACAGAGTGCAGAAGCTAGAATCTAAAAACTTGGTTTGTAGACACTGGACTTACACTGTGAGCTTAGCCACACAGAGTCACTGAGGGAAGGTGGCCCCAGGGAAGATGCAAATAACTGAATTTTACAATAATATATACTTGGAAAACCATGAGAGTGGTTTTCCAAGCAAGATGGAAGGGAAATGTACAAACTAGGATCAACTGCCTCCCATCTCTACCTGGCACATTCTGGAAAGCTCTATGGAGAAAACCCTAGGCCTAGATTTGGAAGACTTCCTCATGTCTGTGCAGCTATACCCTGTCCAGCACTGTACCAAGAAAGGGTCCTTTCCCTCCTCAGTACAGTTTCTCCCAAGACATGACACCTTGAAGGTGGGTGTAACTGAGACAAGAGAAGTCCTGGGATCCCAGGTCTCGCATCACTGAGTAATCACCTCTGAGACAAAGAACACACATGTCTGGCAGTTACGGCAGGCAGTGGTTAGACTCACGTTTTTTTTGTTTGTTTGTTTTGGTACCGGGGATCAAACTCAGGACACTTTGTGCTTACAAGGCAGGCAGTGGGACCATTGAGCTAAATCTCTGGCCCTAGACTCACTTCAAAGCAAGCACTCGCTGGAGGACTTGTGATTGACCCTGCTGGCCAATGTGCCTGGCATCTCAGGGATACCTGGGTGAGTGGACATGGGAAAAATCACACATGCTCAAGTGTTGCTCTGCCGGGTTCACTGTTCTGGGGCCTCCTCCCTGGGACGTCTTCCTCCAATTTCGACCGGAGTTACTCTTTTCCACTGGCAGGCAAATCTCAATATAAGAAATTCTGAACACGTTGGAAGAGACAGTCTTCCCAAAACACTACTCGAAAGCAGGCCCGATTTCTGCATCTCCTAATCTTCCTAATCAAAACTCAACCCTCCTTTGAAAAGAGATGTCACTCTGCGAAAGCTGCACCGATATCCATTCACGTCTGGGGGAAAACTATGAAATACAGGTAGGGCATTCAGTTCCAAGTGGCCAGGATCTAACACCTGCCAAACTTCATATCGAAACGAAGCCTCTTCAGCATCAGCACAGGGACACCAGTAGCAGCTACGGTGCACTGTCCACTTAGTATGTGGCAGGTCTACGCTGGCCACGCCCCAGGCTCGCTTGCATTTCCTCTGCTCAGTAACCCCACGGCACAGGAATTAGCCCACTTTACAGATGAGAAAGAAGTATGAGTGCTGTGAGCGACAGGTAGAATCGGGGTGAGCCAGGATTTGAACCCAAACAACACCTAAGGTCCAGGGCCACGCACTCTGCCCTTGCATTCCACCTGTGCCTATGTCATAAGGGAAGTGCGCTCGTGTTTTCCCAACAGCACAGCGATGGGGGGAAGAGAGTGCAAGCAACAGAAACCTATTGAGATCAGTAGCTGAAAGGAATGTGTGATCACTGAAAATATTTCTATTGCGCCAGAGCTACAAGGACACTGCTTTAGCCCACAGGGGCAGGTGGGGTGAGGGAGGGTGTGCCGCAGGAGGGGCACCTGCCTTCAGTTGCTGCGGCTGTTGTGACAAGGGCCTGTCCTCATTAGCCAGCACTGGGACATGGTGAAGAGAGCCAACGTGCATGCTGGAGCTTGGGGGTCTCTCACATCACTCATCGCTACTTCTGCCAGGTGTGGGTGAGGGGCACTTTCTACATTTCTAGGAATGAAGTACCTGGGAGGCTCTGAAGGTGTGGTTCGTGTCAGTAAGAATCCAGCTGAGACCAACTGGAGCCTGTGCAGAGGGGCCCCTTCCATTCCCATTTTGGGACAGAAAGAGGGTCCTACAGCTGAACCAGTCTGTTTTGGTTCAGCTTCAGCCTCCTTCCTCCTTGACTCTACCCTGTGAGTTTTGTAGGTTTCTCTGAGGCATTCATCTTGTTTATTTACACTATGAACACTACTGGGCTAAATGTTTTTAGGGTTATTTGATAATTTCAATTTTTGCCAAGTTCTATTTGATTATGTAAAGGGTTTTCAGATCTAAGACTCCCCCAACTTGTATGCACCTGCTCCTGAGTTCTTTGATTCCAAAATAAATACTTCAGATTTTTATAGTGGGGCAGGTTTCAAAGTTAAGTCGACTGGTCACCAAATCTGCCAACATTCTTAGAGTGGCTGCTGTGCCTCAGCCTCCTGAGGGGCTGCAATGCCAGGGGTGTGCCACCCTGACTGGAAACTACTCCATCTTTCCCCGAATTTACCACCTACCCTAGTTTATTTTTGCTTCATTCTGACCATCTAACTTTCCTTAGAACCTTACTCCCATAGACTTCTCACTGCCAGGCTGAGCCACATTCCTGGTTGTCTAATTCCTTAGTGTCCTTACTGTGACTTTCTGTCTACATCAAGATGATAGGATGAAAAATAATCATGCACAGTGTACTACAGAGCAGGGGAGTTAAAGGCTAGTTTTGGTGTCAAATTACCCAGTTCAAATCCATACTCCACTAATTGCATGATGCTACGTGAGTTTTTCTTTTAACTTTCTTGAGCTTCAACCCTCCATTTACAAAGCAGGACAGAAAGTGTCAGTAACAACTACTGGTATTTGGTAGGGTTAAATGATGTAACACATATAAAGCTCAAAGCACTTTGCCAAGTACGAGGCAAACAGTATTTTTCGGGACATCTGACGTGAGACCATTTCTCAGCTACTTATTTTCAAGTAACAGAGAGCAGCATTGCGCGAGCCCTGCTCCTCGTGACAGAATATTCTTTTCCAGTGTGTGATACACACATGTGGCTATCTATATAGTTCCCTACAGCTATCACATTTGGACTCCTTCCTACCAAGACTCAGATAAGTTAAGCTATTTATCACAGTCTGGGGCAGCAGAGTCTGGCAGGACTTGACAAATACCCTTCGCCTCCTTGAGAACTCTCAGAGGTGACGGAATCCTTTTGCTGATAGTGACTTCCTGCCTGTGCCTCAACTTTAATAATTCAGGCCCCTCACTTCTGGGGGCGGGCAGCGATTTTGCACACGCCTGCTTTATTTGCCAGGACAGCTTTATATCTGCGTGCGGCCTCCTGACGGTGCTCGAGGCTTAAGAAACATGCATGAATTGCCTGCTTTTTGCCATAGTCCTTAATGGCTCTTGAAGTTTATCTGCTCACCTGGTGGAGGTTAGAGGCCTCGCTCTTATAAAAAGCAGTAAAATTATTTTTTTAAATGGAATGATTATCTTTGGAGTTTTAATCCTGAAGATTTATACATTTAACTGGAAACCTGTTGCATTTTTAATTGGCATCTTCTTTATTTTTTGGGTACCAGGGAGCAAACTCAGGACCTTGAGCTTGTGAGGCAGGTGTGGTGCCCCTGAGCTACATCCCAGGCCCAATCTTCATTACTCAAAGAACCCCTTTTATTCTTCCTGCTGTGGTTTCTCCCCGCAGTGCACACATGATTTACTGCTAGGACTGGGATATCTTCAAAGGCCACAGACCTGTTCTCTGAGCCAGGAGCGCAAATCCAAAGTGAAATTCACCTCAACTTCAAAGTGGGAACTTACTCTCATGCTGCCTGCCTCCCTTCCAAATTCCACTGACTGTTTCTTCTTTATCATCACCTAACTCCGGTGTCACCTTCCTGGCTGCAATCAAACCACCGACAGTCCACATTTCCAGGTAGAATTGTGCTCCTTCAACCTGAATGACCATTTCAACCCATTTGGATGTCCAGGGCGGCCACTGTGACCTTGTAATACAGAACTGAATTCAATGACTCAAAGGCTAGAGTTCTTTGTTTCTGCAACTTTCAACAAGAATTAAGATAGAATCACTCTTGTCTATATTATAGATATAAAATATATATGAAGATGACTTCAAATACTCCTCCTAACATTAGTCCACTCTGTTCTACAGGGATAAGGGAACAGCAAAGCTTAACAGCCATGACAAGCTGTTAAAAATAAATGCAATTCGCTTAACTTTCCTGTAAGCACCTTTTTCTTGCAGAAAACTAACTTGAACGTACAGCTGGGAAAATTTAGTTATTTCTTTTGAAGTTATCTTTGGCAACAATGACAACAAAAAAGGTAAACCAGGGATAGGAAGAAGAATGCAAAGTAGATAAATAACAGATTATACATGGCTAGGATTTCTCCAAGTATTCTGCCAATAAGATTAGGCAAATAGTTTAGTCTTTATTTTGGTAATAAGAACACAAGGACTTTTCACTAAGAACATTCTAGTCGGATAAGTGGTCCTCACTCAACCTCTCATGAAGGGGTCCATTTTCTCTACATTTATTTCCCCAGCATACTTTCCCACATTCCCTTTTGATTTCAATGAACTTTTTATTTCTTAAAACAAAAAAAGGGCTGGAAGCACTGGCACACACCTGTAACCCTAGCTACTCAGGAGGCTGAGGCAGGAGAGTTACAAGTACAAGGACACCCTGGGTAATGCAGTGAGATTTTGTCTCCAAATAAAAAAGGAGCGTGGGGGTGCAGCTCAGTGGCAGGGTGCTTGCCCACCATGCATGAAGCCTTGGGTTCAATTCCCAGTGCCACATACATACAATTTTCTTAAGAAATCCTTTAAAAGCTCTCTTAACTATCTTTTAGTTGATTTCACCCCCGCCAAGCTTTGAACTTGTCAATCTGCCCTATCATTTGGAAGGCAGTCACAGAGATTAATCGAAGGGGATCTTTTGATGTTTCCACCCCAGTTCACATCATTTCTCAGATACGTCACCGTTCAAAACACTTACCAGAGCTGCGCCTAGGAGTAAGTGGAGAAACGATGTTTTCATTTACTTTCAATTACAGACCAGTGTGTGTGGGCCCTTTCGGGGAGCCCCAACCCCTAGTGCAAGCAGGAATGCGACAACTACGTTCATCTAATTTGCATTCATCCAAAGCCATGCTCTAAGAAGGTGAGAGCAACTACAGGCAACAGGCACCAGATGGGGTCCATCTTAGGGATCCCTATCCCATAGGTATGGGATAACTAGCGACACAAGGCAGCTGGCATTTTACCCCAAGCGCTGCTGGTGCTCACAGTACCTGCCCTGAGTCTCTGTGGACCTTCGCCAGACAAGGCAGTGCTAAGAGCCGCAGAAGAAGCGGTGTTTTTAAAACTGCCCACATCAAATGTAAGAAAAGGATGAAATGATACTTTGTTAAAAAGAATTTGTGTTTGGAAAGGAAGCAGGAGGGGCTCTGGAGGCCTGGTGGCCTCCTCAGTACACACCTCAGGACTCTGCATCTGACTGCCAGCCACCAAGCTGTGAAGTCACCTGGGAGGATAAAACCCCCAAATAAAGCGAAAACTACAAATACAGTATGAATAGTAGTGATATTAACAAAATCCACAATAGTATTTCCTTGTTCTAGACACAGGTCTCTAAGTAGCTCCTTTAAAATATATATACACATATATACATATGGTATTTCAGATTATTACAAACCTGATTTGGGGAATACCGTGAGCATTGCCTCTAATGAATTAAAAATGCTCAGTGGTGAGATTTACCTAAAGATAAAAATCACTACAATTCACAAAAATCTCTTCCAAGGAAGTAAAACCAGAATGTTTTTCTAAGGTAACTCTATTTTCATCTTTTTTCTTTTACCTGCAATTCACAGCATAAAAGGGAATGTTTTCTGAACATAAATTATAAACTAAATTTCCTTGCATATATTTAATAATTTCCACTGCCAAAAAAATCAGGACTTTTTTTTTGGGCCACAAGAGTCTCTGCCCCACAAAGGAAGTGAGTGAATTTCCTAATAACTAAAGGTGCTTAATTTTATGTAGTGAAAATGAGCTGCTGGGTAGGTCAAAGTACTTAAGAGAACAAAACCCGAGGTCTGCATTGCTTTGGAGTATTGGTGAGCTCTCATCCCTCGTCACCAGTGGAGATCTCCACAAAGAGCACCTTTCTCTGCCAGGTCTCAAGCTGTTTACAACTTTCTGTGGTGGAGCTGATGCTGACTTCACTGATATTTATGGCTAGATAATGGGAATCAGATGTCCCCTCTGAACAACAGGACAAGGAGAGAGAGGCTATTCAAAACAGATTTCTCTCTCCTCCAAATTTCTTCAGGGTCTGGAGCAAAGGAAAACAGTTTCACACTTGATGATGCTAATTTTCTTCAAGCTATGAAAACACGTCAATTGGGAAACAAAATATAATACTGATTAAAAGTACACTATGTGGGGGGGAACTCAACTGAAAAAGCAACTTTGTGCCAGGTAGAGGCACTAGGTTTGAGCAGCCTGCACTAGCAGCACGGATCATCTTGAACTGCCCCTGTGGGTTCACAAGACACGCTGTACTCTGTGTGGGACCTTTGCCAAAAGAGCTGGGCTTTAAAATAGGTAGGAGATCCTACCCAAGTCCAGGCTGGAGGGCCTCCTGGCACCACGATTCAACACCAGGCCCAGCGTCTGTGAACCCGAGTCTGTGGCCATCTTGGAGGTGAGGCCTGTGCAGCTTTGGGGACACAGCCCATCGGTCTGACTTCATTCTACAGGTGGACAGGCGAGGGGGCTGATATCTGAAAGGCTTCTTTCCACCCTAGAATTCTCTACTTCTGTCTTTTGAATCATTTAAAGAAGGAACATGATGTTTTAATAACAGATGGGAACCCAAAGTTTTCTTGTCCCCAGCGCGGTTCTGGCAGACTCAAAGGAAGGCACCGGCACAGAGTGCAGACAGGGCTGCATGGTGGGCCTGGGCTGTCAGCAGGGACTCCAGGTGGGCTTCATCTCAGCCTCTGCCAGTGTGTGGGTCCGGAAATGGGCCCAGGTTTCTACTGGTTTCTTAGGGACTGCAAGGAAGGTGGAGTCAGGCATAGAATGCAATCCCCTGCCTTGCTAGACCCCACCCATGGGCTTCTCCAGGGTACCCCGGGCTGGTCCTGCTGTTCTTTTCCTCATTCCCATTCAGGACCCCGGTAAGGGCCTCGGCTGGCACTTAAGACTCTCCTCTGTGGTGGCCTTGGTTTCTCTCTTGCTGTTCCCTTACTTAGAGTGGGAAGTACAGGTCTTGCGCCCACAGAAACCTGGGTACCAATCCCAGCTCCTCCCCTCACTGGTGGGGTGTTTCTGGGGAAGTTACCTAAGGATGATGGGCCTTGCTCTCAGTCTCCTTAACCGTAAAATAGGAATAGGACGGGCTACCTCACAGGAATTCTCAGGAGGGTAGATTCCCCGGGGCCACCTCACAGAGCGTGCCTGCTCTCACGCCTGCCCCGCTACCACCACCTTCACTGTTCCTTTTCGGAGACAAACCACACCCTGCCCTGGGACTGCTTTCCCCAGCTCCAACTTCCTGTGTCTTCATGGGGCTCATCCCTTTCTCCTCATCGTCACATGTCCAAATCGCCTCCAGCTTCCAGAATTCAACTCAAGACTGCTTTTCTCCAGAAGTGCGCTTGGGACCTGTCCTTCATCTGACGTTCCAAAGCGTGTGATCTATGCAACCCATGTCCTGTGAGATTTCTGTCCTTCCTGGGTATTAACTTGTTTTTGCTTCACCTACAACGCTAGATGTACAGCGTCCAACCCTACACCACACCTGGTGAACAAGTGCAGGCAGACTAAATGACAGGGTCCCATTGCTAGCTTGACTCAAGACAATGCTTTAGCCTCTGCTCTGAGGGAAAACAGCGCGAGTCAGATTGTGAGGCACACTGGTTGGGTGAGGAAAGCATCTGCCTTCTGCGGGAGCTGCGATGTTACGTGAGAAAAGCAGCTGGGGGTGGGGAGGGAGGTAACACATGGACCACAGAAGGCTGGGCCAGGACAGTGACCCCGAGTCTCAGCCCTGACACAGCGCCAACCTGAAGAGATGGAGACCGTCCTGTGCGGCGAATCAGACTTTTGGGATAAAAGAAATCAGATGGAGAACGATGAATGTTTGGTGGCTGCCATAAAAGATGAAAAGAGGGAAGAGTAAACAAGATCCTTGTTCAGAAATTACAAAAACTTAAAATCCCACGGGAAAATTAATATGACAGTAAGCAACAAGTGACATCATTCTAGTTGACGGGCCTGGGCCAGTTTTTGGGGGTCAATTTTGGGCTCACATAAAATGAACATTAATATAAATAATAGTATATTTATCTACATCCCTACCCTATCCTCTGAATCCTTTCCATTTATTTTGGCTGAGATGTATTTATAGTATACGAAGAAGATTAAGGAGGCAATAAAGTCAACTGAGGCGTGTTCTTAAGAATCTGTTATTACAAACGCCCCACGAGTTCTTAAATATCAGGAATGTGGATTACTCAGTGGAATTGCTCAAAGATCCTTCAAACATTTTCATTTTGCTATGGAAACTGCTCTCTGCTCTCTGTGACATTCGGTGAAAGGCTTAGAAAGCTTGGCTCAAGATCTGTGTGTGTAGACACACCCCTGAGGGAGCATAAGATTTATCCCGCTACTCAAAATGTACTCCTCTCTCAGTCCCACCAACATCAGCCTAGACCCCCAACTCTGGGCGACAGGGGATCTCCTCCCTGTGAGGTGCATCCTCCTCACTACGGGGTTTCCCCAAGGGCCAATCCGAACTCCCACATAGTAAGTGTTGAGATTAGGACAAGAGCTCTGGAATGCTTACTAAGGAACAAAACAAGACGTCCTCTTAGCCAGGATGAATGAAATACTTCACAAGTTATTTTCACAAGCTTCTCCAGAGAGTTCCATCAAGATGTGATCAAATATGTTTTTTCTCTTTGCTCAAGTCATTTTAGGAACTTATTAGGACTCACAAATTCAAGCTATCCTTACAGAGAAAAAAATATGCATTTCATTCAGCCTGACCTCATCGGCATGCCCCTCTTTATCTGGCAAAATACTTCATCAGGAATAAAGCAAAAATGACTCCACAAAAACTAAGAGCAACACTGTAGAAAGGGTTCAAACCACGGGCTACTTGGGTGGTTTCAGGGCAGCTGTCACAAGCTATGTTTTGAATTCTGCACATTTAGGGCAAAAGTGATAATAAGGACTATCTTTTAATGTCTTCATGTTTTATAAAGATAACCTGTTTCCCAAGCATCCATGGTTCCTCCAAATTCCCTGAGGCTCGTCTTCCTGGCTGATGAACTTCAGAACTATTCGTGCTCAAACTGAAGCTGTAGGCCCGAAACAGACAGCAAAACCACCCCAGTATTGGTGGACAGCTTCTTCTTCTGCTACTCGTGCTTTTAATAAATTATTCTCAGAAAAAGTGCCCCCCCATTTAAATATTGCTATAATAATAGTGACTGCTAAAAGTACTGCTTTTGCTTAGGGTCCCAGCCAAGGGACAAGTCTCTAAGACATACAAGTGGCAAAAAGTCTCCATCTGAATTACAGATGCTGAGAAGGAAAAAAGCAAAGCAAAGCAAAGTGGGTGAAAACCCACTCTGCACACATGTGTTTCAATGAAGAGAATAAATTTTAGATGCCAGACAGTAACAGCAGCAATCCTGGGGTGGCAGGCATAGGGATCTAAACATCTGGTAATCATTTCTCTGAAGTTACATATCAGTGATCAGGTCCTACAGATAAACCAGCTGTGCACTGCTGGGAATTACATATGCCAAATATGAAAGTGCCTACTAAGGACAGGTCAAGAAGAAATCACTCCACACACCAGGGTCTGGCCTCCAAAATAAATGCACTCCATTCATTCCTCCCCTTGAGGTTCCAGGTGAGAGGAAGGCAGATTCCAGTTTTCCCACAGGCGCCACTAAATTAGTTAAAAGGAGAAACTGGGATTCGATCGGATTAGCTTCTGAAAAACACTTCACCACTCAGGAGAGAAACTAGGAATATCCAAACAGGATGCAGATTATGATTGTGAACATATCTGTATACAGTTTTTTTCTTCTAAAACAAGATGAAATACTGGCATCTAGAAGTATTCTGAGCTTTGACCAATTTACATGCCAGGGCTCACCGGTGTTTTCTCCCAAGGTTTTATCTAAAAAACCATCAGTTTTTGGATCAGATGCTACTCTGCCGAATCTGGATTTGAGAGGTCAGTAAAATGTACCAAGAGCTGAGCAATGGGTGTAGAATGTGAGGGAAGTGGTGCTTCATGAACTAAGCACAGAGTCTGGCAAGAAAGTTGTGGATGCTGAGTGTAGAACTTGATGGGTCACCCCCCCTCACCATCTTTGTTGACTTTCTTAAATGCTTTAATAAAAAGTGGACAGACAAGACAAGACTTACTTTGTTCAACACAAGCATTTAGAACAAAGAAAATCACAATACATTCAGGGCTAGAGGGGCCCAGGATAGCTGGTCAAATGGCCTTTAAGCTTGGATTGCTATATGGAAAAAGTTGGTTAAAAAAAATAATTTCACCCAAATCCTAGCCCCAAGAATTAATGAGTGGTGAAGCATGTGGCTTCCAAATGCACCTGCACCATGGTTCTAAGTGTCTGCTTACCCGCAGCTTTTCCTCTGTCTTAGAAGACTGCTTACAGTCGGGATGCCAAACGGTGGAACCTGGAAAGACACAAGGCAAACTGTGATGGAGATGGAAAGATGCCACTGTCCCCTTCACCAGAACTGCTGAAAGTGGCTCAGACTCCTCTTTCCCCTCACTGGAAATGTGTGACTGCCCGGCATCCAAGTGATTTATGACATGGAAATCAAACAACCCCAAACTTTAGGTGAATTTCCTTGTCTAAGCCAAGCTTGTTCTGTAAAGATCATAACTCTGGACCACAGAGACCACTAACTGGGGACAAGATTGTTTTAATGCAAAAGATATTTAGCTCTTGACCATTTTTTAAAAAACTGTATTATTGTCCTTCACAAGTAATGTCTGATAGCTTCCCTGGTGTGAATAATCTGCAATAATACATAAGATCCTAATAAGATTACTGACATTTAGAAATGGGAAGAAAGGAGCTAAAGGTGTAGGGAAGGTGGGATGGGTAGAGGAAGGGTAATAAGGGAAAAGAAAAAATGTGAGAGAATGAAAAGATGAAAATAAAGTGTTTGTAGATGGGGAGGGGAGGAGGGGGTGAAGGGAGGGCAGGGGTAAGGGGAAAAAATGAGAATCAAGACTTGTCATGTAGAGGTACAAGATCCCAACAATGAATGTAACTGTACTGTATCCCTAAAATGTACCAATAAACTCAATTAAAGCTGAAAAAAAAGTAATGTCTGAGTAGTTAGTATAAGCTGCATTTGATTACAGAAATAATAAGCATATTTCTAGACCATCAAACAACAAAGCAATCTAGTTGAGAGAAAACCAATCTAGACAGTCTATATCCAGAAGCAAAACTGACTAATTGTTTTCCCTGATACAATTCTAGTCATCTACACCAACACAGGTAACTATAATAATTGTCAGGATAAAGTTACATTTGACTAACTAAAAATAGTCTTTGTTTTTAAACTAGCAGAGTGACTATTTAGATGTTACTTCCTGTTCCTGCGTCAACGGTCTCCCTTTCTGAGACTATGGAACACTTTCCTGGGTAGTTTATCCAGCGTCACAGAATGAAGCAAAAACACTTATTTCCAAAAGACAACACTTCTTTCCAAGAATCCTATGCCTGCTCATGATTTTATATGACCAGATACGTAACACATGCCATTTATATGATGATGTAGGTGTACCAGGCTGGTAACCGAGTCCTGTGTGCATGGGAGCGTCTCTTCAGATGAAGGGTGGGGCAGGAGGAAAGGAGGGAACACTTCAAAAGACTCTAGCCAATGAAGTCGCTAAGCAGAAAGTAGTGAGTGATAGAAATAGAGGCTCTGCGTGAACATCAGTCTTTCTACATTTCATGGTTTCAGCCTGTATCTCTTCAAACAGTAATCTGTGTGTGCTTGAAAAGTCACCAATTTAAAATAACGTGTGAACAGCTTTACGCCACTAAGCTAACATAATATTACATTAATAACAAGAAAATACATTTTATATCAGAATGATTTAATTTCTACATAGCACTTCTACCTTGTTTCAAGCAGAACTGGGGTAGGCGGAGAAAAGAAAAAGGAAGAAAATCAAACAAACAAACCACAGACAGGCAGGAGTCCCTTCAGCACTAGAGGTAGGGGGAAGGCTGACTACAAAGCACAGGAAATCTTTTAATGTGGAGAGGCGAAAGGTCAGGCCCAGGCCAGGAGAGCAATGCATTAGCTGCGCAGGTCCTACCCAGCAAGGGACACTGTCCAGAACAACACCCAACTGTGCCCAGTGTCAACACTGTTCTCTCAAGGTCACACACTCAAGGAACGGCGCTCAGAGCAAACATCAGATGCTTCAGAAAATGAAACTACTCATTCCGCAAGGATGCGCTCAGAGGGATGCCCAAGGGTAGCAAAGCGTAAACCTAAAGGGGACTTAGAACAATCCCTGGAATTCTGAACGCAGCCTACCTCATGAATGCCTTGTGCACAGTTTGAAACTGTCTCTGTTCAGCTTCCAGAACCACTGGGAATGTGCAGAGCTGCACCCAAGCCTGAGTCTCAGTCCAGGCGGACAGGCTGACATTCACTCCAGTGTCTGTTCTGGGAGAGCAATAATTAACTCAATGAAATCTACCAGCAGGCTGGGGGACGTCAGGAAGACTCTATCTGCTTGGGCAGCCGTTTGCAAAGAGACGCTTGCCTGTTGCCACTGCAGATGGACCGCCTGTTCCTGGGAAAATGTGTCTCTGAAGCCCTCACGAGACCAGAGGCACAGCCTGTCACTTTCACAGCACGCTTCAACATTCAGTGGTGTTTTTCCACTGCGTTTTTTCCAGAGTGATCATGCTGAAGCTAAAAGAACTTGTCAATGTATCACCTATCTAGTATTTTTAAGACAAGTAGCCAACATGGTGATTTAACACCGATGAGTCATGTTTAGAGACTTTTCTTAGTGATACAAAAGCAAAACAGAGAGCAGAGCAAAGCAAACTGTTCATTACAAATACACTTGGTGTCATGTGTAACAGAGAAGGAAGAAATAACATGCAGAGACAACTGAGAGCCAGTAATTACCCAAACTGAACCAGCAACTGCTCTTAACAGTTCTTGCTAATTTTACTGATGAACCCCTGTGTAATTAATGAGTCTTTTCCCAGCTAAAAATAGTAAAATGCTTAGCACAGATGGTGCCATTTGACTGGAAGAGAATTCACTCCTTTTCCGAGAAGCTCCAGATTTTGGAGGAGACAAAAAAAACGAGTCATAGTTTTACTCTAGAAATGTTTCTCAAAATTATTTTCCATTAAAACAAGTCTATGGGCTCCCTGGGAACAAGTATTTCCATGCCACCAGAAACTTCTTAATTTCTCTTTCAGGAACTTTGGGTGTGTTCTCTCTCCTTCTATTTCAAAATGATCCACGTCAATTAGTGGGATAAAATGTGCCTGTGATGTAATTTATCAAATATGAGAATTTCTTCTTCTTGAAAGCCCAGCGAAGTGGTAAGTGGAGGGACTTCAGATAATCTTTCTCATAAGGTAGTAAAAAGAGAAAAGGAAATGTAGCCATGAAATAAGCAGCCCTACTAGAAATTTCTAGGAATGTGTCTCATTTTTGATATTTTGTTTCTCAAACATATTCCTGGGGAGAAAGATGGGGAGGAGGAATTGCTGATTTTCACTTATCCCTCACATCCACAGCATCAACCTTCAAGTCTTATTCATTTTTTCCAAGCTACAACCCAAGCTCAGAGCTCTTTTTTCAACAGCCTCAGGCGCTCACTGCCAGATCATCAATTGCTTGGCCAGAACCCTAACTGACAATGAGGTAACTGTTGGCCCTATTCATATTGGATTTGGGTAGCCTCTTAGCTAATAAAATGTCTCCTTCTCTAAAAACAATCCAACAAACACAGCAAGACTCCTTTCCCCAAGTAAAAAAAATGTACTTTGTTCTCCAGTCCATCTTACCTTGAAGATACATTTCCTCTCCTTCTGTGAACATCTGGTTGCATCTGCTGCATCGTGCACAGCTGGGGTGATAATGTTTGTCACCTGCCTGCAAGGCAAAAAGGCAGGGACTTTTAGTCTACCCATTCAGTCATGGCTCAAAGACTCTTTTCTGGAGTTGTGCATTTAGAAGAAAAGAGAAGTTGCTGAGGAAGGAAAATAGTGACCAAACTTCCCAAACCAGTAACCCCAGAAGTTACAGGCAACCTCACTGGAACAGAAAGGGCTGGAAGACCAGCTACTCACATCCACATCCACCAAGATGGGGCTGTTTTGTTTCTCAGTTTCTCTGGCCTCCATTTTTTCTCCTCACCTACGCTTTCTGGGATGGTTTCCAGTTAAACCCCACATGCCTGAGATGAGCTCACTTTATGTCCCAATAACCCCACCTCAAAACATGAACCCACAAATTTATGTTGGAGGCTAATGTTGGCTTAGCAGGCTCTTGCTTTCTTGGCTCAATGATCAGAAAATCATAAAATCCACCCAACTTGCACGAAGGTAAGAAAAACTATAGTAAAGGACACAATCCACTGTTACTGGTTCAGAGAGAGACTAAATTCTCTCTTATGCTGCTTACATCAGTCTTTTCCCAGTGTCCTTTATTAGTCTTCCAAAGAAGGCATTTTACTGAAGTGGCATTTCACATTCCTAAATATGACAGATGCTATCACAGCAGGTGTTGACTTTCCTGAAGCATGGCATCACTGGACACAGTGACCATTCTCTAGGCAGGTGCCAAATCATATTAGAGTCATGCTCCAAATGCAAGCCGGATGAAAAATGCTTTCATTCACAGCTTAGCAAAAAGAAAAAAAAAACTTCACTTACAAATTATCAAACATATTCTGTAATTAAATCATCTTTATTAATCAATTGCAAAAACTTTCTTTTGCACTAACCATGCGCTATGAGAGTGCTGAGAAAGTTAGAGGTGGCCATACGCTGCTCCTGAACCTGCATAGAACCACAACAGGAAGTCAGAGTCAAGTCCTGATTTCATTCTCATGCCCACCTGTATAAACCATAGAAGCCCTTTAACCACTAGAGCCTGAGATAGGGGTCAGCTGCTTAAGATGATCTAAAGGGAAAAAAAATTAAGTTATTTAAATTAAAAATCTAGGAACGACACCTTTTTAGCGGTGTCTACCAGAAAATTGCAGAAATTGTGTTCTCATTCTTGCCCATTTGCTGCTTCTTATTTATTAAAATAATTTTTGTGGTGGATGGGGTGCAGGTATGAGTGCAAAGAGAAGCATGAAGTAGGCCCCGTCTTTAAGATATCTGTGGTCAAATGTGAGGAGAAGGAAGGAAGAAATTCTTTTGAGTTCTAAGCCAGGTTGGCTGAGCTAGGATCAGTGCTGGGTCCAACCTGGACAATCTCTGGATTCTCAAGGAAAATGTAAGTGAAAGACTCTGTTGTAGTGTGTGGTGAAAAACATAGTTTATCTTATTAAAGCAGAACAGAAACATTTTTTAATGCTAATAAAGCACATTTATCATATTTAGTGGTGAAACATCAAAAGTGTTCTCATTAAGGATAGGAGTGAGGCAAAGATGTACCCTTTCACCCATATCATTCTACATCCTTTGGGTACTAGCCTATGTGATAAGTTAAGAAAAATAAATAAGTATAATGATCACTAATAAAAAAATTCAAGCAAGTGGCTAGATTTTAAAAGTCAGCATCACAAAAATTATTATTTCCTATTCATTAGCATGAAAAAGAAATGTAATAGGTAAGCAGGTCCTCATTTGTAACAGCAACCAATAAATCCTCTAATATAATATCTACATATAAAATGATAGCACTTAACTGATGGACATAAGAACTCTAAATTTTATTCTATTTCTAAATAGAAACATGCAATAATATTTCTAGGTGCAAAAACTGAATAATGTAAAGATGCTGATTTATCTAAAATGAACCTAACTCCTGTGATGTTTTTGCAATCAGAATGGTCACAGGAGTTTGCTTTGTAAAACTTGACAGATTTTATCTGTAAGTTCACATGGAAGCAACAAAGTACAAATAAAGATCTTTTCATTCCAAAAAAGAGCAGCAGTGAAAGGGATTGTCCCTTCCTGATTTAAAAATGTATTTAAGGCTAAAATAATTAAAGCACTTGAATATCCACATAGGAACAGAAAATAAATCAATGGAACAGCAGAGAGGAAACAGCCACTATCACAAGAGAATTTAGTTTATCATAAAAGTGGTAGTTCAAATGAATTGAAAGAGTAGATTATTCAATAAATGGTGAGGTTATGGGGAAATAGCTTAGGGTTAGGGTAGAGCACTTGCCTAACTATAAACCCTGCCTGGGTTCAATTTCCAGTGCAGGAAGAAAAAAAAAAGAACAATTAATTCTCAATGTAGAGAAAGATAAATCTAGATTCTTAACTTGTAACCTATACAAAAATAAATTCTAGAAAACTTAAAGTAAAAACAAGATTAGAGCAGCATTAGAAGAATATATAGAAGACCTGTAATAAACATGAGGTAGGAAAGTGTTCTAAGCAGGGCAAAAGCTAGAAACAATAAAGACAAATATTAGCCTTTCTGTGCCAAACACCGCACAAAATAAAAATCTCTAGACATAAAATTAAGAGAAATAACAGAAAAAATTTGCCACACATTTCAGGCAAAGAATTATTCAGAATATGTAAAAAGTGTACTATGAAAAAATAAGTGGCAAGATGGGCAAAGGCGATTTCAATTTCCAGAAAAAATGGAGATAATAAAAAAGATAAAAGAATTTGTCCAATCCTACCAGTAATTGGGGAAATACATTTAGAAAATCCCCCCCATAAAATTAGCAAAGATAAACAGAATACAAATGTGAAAACTGATATTCTTATATACTGTTGGTGACCAAAATCCTTCCTGGAAGGCAACTTGGTGGCATCTATTAAAATTTAATGTGCACATAACCTCTGACTCACAACTTCACTCCTAGGTAGCCATCCCACATAGTCTCATGTATGTGCTCCCAAGAATATGTATTAGGGATATTAAGTACTATTTTACTTAGAACAGCAAAGAACAAAGAAACAGAAAATGATCCCCAAAGAGGAAGACGTTAAATGAAATATTGAACCATATGTAGCCATTAAAAATGAAGTAAATATATATGTCCTTGTAAGAAAAGAGTTCATGGTAATACTAATAAGAATTCAAACTATCATTACAAAGAAAAAACATCAAACAGAAATACTCCTGTTATACGCACATTGAGTAGTGGAAACACTGGGTAAATGTGACTGGATTCAAATCCAGTTCCACGTGAAATGGATAACTGCATTTACCTTGCAGAGCTCGTAAGATAACTGAGAATCTAGCCTGTGTCCTGGCGCCACTGTAAGTGTTTTCATTACCTCATCAGTCATGGGCACGCACTATCCCTGTTATGTATGTGTAAAGGGACACATAATGTGTAAGTAGTGATTGTGTGTATGTGTGTGTGTGTGTGTGTGTGTGTGTAGGGTGCTGGAGGTCAAACCCAGGGCTCTGTACACACTAGGCAAGTGCTCTATCACTGAGCTACATTGCCAGCTCTGTGTCTTCATTTTATACATGTGCCCTGCAAGGAGGAGACAGGAAGAATGTAAAGCAATTAGTGTGCTGCGTTTACCTGTGAGGAGAGTGGTAGGAATGGGGAAAGAGAAACCTTCTGTATTATCTCACGCTTGTACATTGGGAATATATTTTATGTCACTGTGCAAATAGAGAGTAACAACCAAGTGGAAAAGTCTGTAAGTCTTGGAGCCCTAGCAGCTGGGCTTGAGATTTCACCCCAATCTATAGTATAAATATCAGTTAGACAAATCAAACACTCTTGGGATTTCTACTGCAGAGTAGAGGTGACAGGAGTGGTGATGGTGGTGACGATTCTCATAAAAACAAACATTTTTACTGTGCATGTTCTGTTGTGTGTGTTTTATTGTGCGTATATGTTGACCATTACTGGTTTACATATTTTATATATTTCATAAACATTTGGTGACTCTTTGTCACAATCATCTAAGAAGGCTGAAACTATTATCATCCCCACTTTTAGACGAGGTACCTGAGGCCTGCAGAGGTTTAGTAACTTGCTCATGGTCACACCGTTGGAAGCGGTGGGCCTGTTTCCAGAGTAGATGTTCCTAACTAGCACCCCAACCAAGGCCATACAATATCCCACCGCAGTGACTACCTCACCCTGTTGTTGGCCGAATGGTCAGATGGGATTTTGGGATCGGTGCGCTGCGGAGCACACAACAACGAAGATAAGGACGGTGGGCACAACAGCTGCCCAGAGCCGGCCCCAGGACCATGCACACAGCAAGCAAGCTCAGGAGTGCGGTCTGGGCTACTGGTAAAAGGCTCCCTGGATGTCACTTTTTCCAAGCACAGGCTGTGGGGAGGAAATATGGTGAATGAGCTATTACACAGGAAGGATGAAAGCGACCCCAAGCCTACATGGGGCGGGGCTCTGTACTGCAGAGAAATGATATCATCACCCTGACTCATGCACTTGCTTCAGATGCTGCTCGTGTCCGCGGATTCACATCACGCCAAGAAATTCTGCGTCAGGGGTAGTTTCAGGGCCACCAGTGAGGCTCTCTGCTCCTGGAGCAGTGTAGGCCTGAGGGGCTACAGTCAGGAAATCAAGGATGAGGGAGACCCCCCTCTGCAGGGTGAGCCACGCCCTCTGTTTCGTTTTTCTTTTTTTTGGTACCGGGGATCAAACTCAGGTCCTTACGCTTGCAAGGCAGGCAGCAGAACCACTGACCTAAATCCCCGGCCCTGTTTCATTTCTCCTTATACCAGTGCTTGTGATGGTTCACAGACAAACCCTGTGCACCTGGCCAGAGGAAGTATCAGAGTTGAAAAGAGGCTCTATGCGAACTCACCAGACACCGGAACTAATGGAGTCCAAGTCGTCTACACTGGAGTCATATTTAGAGGCAGGAAAAGAATTGCAGATGACAAAGATGGCAGACTGAACAGCACCCATATAAGAAACACTATAAACCCTATTTCCTGTAGAGAGGAGGTTCGTG